GATGTGGTAAGTTCCCTCTTCTCTTGCCCCTCCCGGCTTCTTTAGAAACTGGCCGGCGTAACGTTGAGAGACAGGTTGGGGGGATATCATGTGACGTGAACGCTGGCACACGGAGGAACTGTTGAGGAGAATTTGGGTAGAAATGGTTCCAAAGAGCAAGTATTGATTTGTTCCCGGTTCCCTCTGTTCCATACAAAACAGGCTTGGGAACTGTCAAAATGGGACATGATATCTTGCACAGGCATTCCCTCGTACAGGCAGCGTTAGAAAATTTGGATTCTAGATATTTGAGTCAATTTTAGAATTACATATGTATTTGTGGGTCGGATCTGAAGTAATATCCAGAATTGATTATGATGTCTTAGAAATATGAAATATATGATGATTATGGATGTTATGAAAAAAAAAGAAAGCATCCTTTTGGCTTGTTTATTCAGCTGTTCGAATGGATTTTATTTTCCATGCATGCACTGCCTTTAGTGTGCCACCAACGGATGGCCTTGGATGAGGATACCTTTATTTGGAGAAGCCGCTGTGCCTTGTCGCAGCGCGATCATTTATTCTATTACAATATCGTGCAAAAAACTACACAATCCTCTATACCATTAAAACGCGGGAACAAGGTTTTAATGAGGTGGTGGTTCTGAATGGTGTTGCTATCGTCACATTTCAGCTTCAGTCTCTGCGATCGCAGAAGCAGAACAGTTCTGCAGAAAATCATTAACGCAGCGACGGCAGCAGCAGCTGGTTCTTGCAGCTATTTTATTTTCCACTTTGCAGGGAATATCTTCATCCCCGAGATCTTAATCAAATTACCGTCCCCTTTTCGGGTGGTGTGTGGCGCGGCGTAGGGCTGCCGAGGCTTGTGCTCCAGCCTGGAGTGTTGGCTGATTGAATTTTCCATTGTTTGGCCAGCAGGGCCGGCTAGTTGATTGGTTACTCAATAATTAATGATTGTCCATCGAGCGGCCGTGAAAGGAGTGGTTAGAAATGGAGATGCCTCTGCTTGGACGACCGGGGTTCCATCCACACACAGGCCCGCCCACATTCTCACACACTAGATACATTTACTTAGCACCTTTTCTCTAAGGGAAGTTCTCAATGGCGTTGTAATAAGATTGTTTTTCAAACGAGCCTGCTCCTCATGCATACATTGATGTGTGAAAAAGGGATCAATATATATCGGTGATTTGGTTACGGGTGCACAGGCATGCTGGCTTTTATGGTTTCATATTTTCCTGCATAAAAAAAAGGCTCAATCCACTTTGAAAAGATGAAACAATTTCTTTTTCGTTCCAGTTCTTTCTTTATGTTCTGCTATCGTTTGTTTCACTGAAAAAATAAAACAAGTACATTTTAAAAAATTAAGTCTTCCTCAGTGTATTATTATATCATATTAATTTTTTTTCGTGTAAATTTCAGTATGGAGAATAGTGTTACAGATGGTGGTGTTGTTTTTCTAAGATGTTATTTTTCGATGTGATGTTATGTAATAATCCCCTTCCACACTCCTGCTGTCTCCTCAGGGTGACAGGGACCCCCCCATATTGGCCTCCCGGTTTTCCCAGCGCCCCCCTATGAGTGATAGGTTAAATTAGTGAAATTGAGGGAGAATCGCTGACTGTGCTATTGGACGTCGGAAGCACCGTTCCCCGCGAGGGGCGTTAGGGGGAGGGAGCGCCGGTCGCGCCAGTATCGGGAACGCACAATTCTCCCCTCCCAGAATATATCTGCTGTTTTATATATATTTTATATATATCGAGGCCTTGCACAAGGGAGCGTATGCAGGCTTTCCTCATTAGAATATTGGGGAAATCTGCCACGCTTCTAAAATGAGGGGTATTAGATGTAACAGTGATTGATGCAGGCTTAATCTAATGGGTCCTCCAGGAGGGGGCTTAGTTTCCTGTAGGCCCCAGCACAATAGATTGGATTTTCTTCTTACTCAGGAAGGTTTGGGCCCACAGGAGACATATAGAGGGGGGAGGGGGCTGTGTCAGGCTGTTACAGCTGTTCAACTTCAGGCCAAGGGTTGGGATAGCTGTTCTGTTTCAAACAGCTGTGCATTTAGAATAACAATCCATAGTTGCACCTGTACTACAAATTCAGCATGCTCCGAATCACGTGCTAGGTTTATTGTGTAGAAGCAGAACAATATACTTACACCTGTCCTGCAACTTACAAATTCAGAGCATGTCGGCAGAACGTACTGCGCCTGCGCAGAACCCTGTATTTTCGCGTTTTTCGTTGGGTTTTTGGTCAGCGTTGCATCAGAATTTTGCCTGTTGCAGAGGATATTCTTTCCGACATAACATTTGGAAACTACTGTCGAAATGCTAACCTTATATGAGCGAATACAACCTTATATGAGACATTCTGCCGAAATGCTATGTTGTAGAATACATTACAGGTTTCGCGCAGGTGCAGTACGTTCTGCTGACGTGCTCAAATTCAGCAGTCTCCAAAATCATGTCCTAAGTTTATTGTTAAAAGCCTGTACTATTACATAGTCAGCAGTTGCCAAGTCATAAATTCATATACCCCATTGTAGAAGCAGAATAATACACACGCACCTGTACAACAAATTCAGCAGTCTGCAAATCATGTGCTAGGTTTATCGATAGCAGCAACCCAGTTAGATATTGCCCCTGGCCAGCACATGGGATTTACAGCCAAAATTACATCTCAATAGTTTATATTGTGGGCAATCTATAAAACATTGGAAATCTACATTTTCCTCCTGCCCAAAGCATTTTGCAGACTCAGATTGGAGAAAACCGATAATGAAAACTTGATGGGCCAAAAAATGTAGATATTCATTCAGTTACATTAACTGGAAAACACATTCACAATATTACAATTGACTTAGAAATATTGGGGATATTAGACAAGGTAGGAACATTTGGAATGCGTATGCATGAAGAAAAAAGTAGTAAAAGGTCTACAATATTTTGCAGGAGTTGTGGAATAAAATAAAATTGTGTTGTGAATATATCAAATTTCCTGACACCTATAATATGGTATGATAACATTTTTCCCATTCTGGCTATTGATAAATTTTGTATTCTGGGATTATAGGCTTATTTTTATATCAAAACATCAAATACATACCTATAAACAACCCTGTGTAGATACAAATAGCTTCAGCTGTTTGGCAAACAGGTGAGAATGTATATAGGGGGTGGTAAATCATGTTCCATGAGCAGGTGTACATGTATCTAATGGTATTCAGTAGGACAGCAGGGGGAAGGGATCATCTGCAATTCCCCCCAGTCTGATGCTCCGAGGCTGCCCCAATTCAATTTGTGGGACTCTCCGATTGCAAAAATGATAATGCTGAACTGAAAACTGAGTATGAGGCAAAAATTTGTACAATTTATGTAGATGAATGGCTGGAAATTACGATACCTTCTGCATATGCAGGTTAGTGGAGGTAAAATTGGAGCTGTGCAGGTTTTCCTGATGTCTACCTGCACCTAACCTGCACTGATCCATGTACTGGGTTTATTATAAATGATATTAGATTATATATACATCTAGGAATACAATAATGTTAATTTTTATTTGATGCATTCACTGTTACCCCTATGAAGTTGGAAATAAATCATAATGGCAACTTTCTGAGCAGTTTTTAGTATGATCCATACTTCCTAAATTCTGAGTGGTGCAGGTAAAATTTGTCAGGTGCAGGTAATTTTCAATGTAATACTAGCATCAGTGCAGGCATGCAGAAAAATATTCTGCAATTGTACAATGGTGTAGTATGATTAATAGTATATAGAAAAGATAATATCAAGTGACCTAGCAGTTCTTTCCATGAACTAGATTGAGCGTTGTGTGTTCTTTATCAGAAAATGGCACAAGGGGTTTTCTCCGTAATGATTTTTTGTGCTTATCAATTATGGGCCATACGGTGCAATTTGTTGGTTCTGGGATAATAACAAATTTTTTTTTAAAAATGAAGATGAAAACCGACCAGAGAGAAAATTGTTTAGGGTGTGAATATAAAGTATTAGTTTTCTAGCCATCCTTCTGATTTTGTTTTGTCCTCTTGCTAGATTTTAACTTTAAATGTCCGAGAACCATGAAAATAAATTACTATAGCCTAATCCATTTCAATCTTCAATACTAGCACACAAAATCATACAAACACTGCAAGCAAATACAATGTACAGAAAACTGGTTTATGTTTTCAACAGCCATATTATTATATGTACAAGAGTTACTTTGATATTTAAATCATTCTATTTACAGGGTAGGGATCTACCAATTTCGGATGTGGGATTGGGAATAGGAAAACCAGAGATTTGAATCCCCGCATTATTTCCTAGAACTTCAGGGGTCCAGATGAGACGTTGAGCCTGGTGGTGTTAAAAATATCCCGCCTGTCCCGAATACTCGTGTCACATGCTGGAGGGAAGGAACAGTAACAGGGTGATATAGGGACCCAGGGATAGGATAGAAGGGCTCCTCATGCAAATATATCCACTCTACTCTATAGGGTCTGTGGGTGTGTGGGAGATACAGAAATGAGAGGAACATTCGTACAGACAATTTTTATATGATGTCCATTCTTTTGATTGCAGTAAGTTGTGAAAATGTGTGATCACTGTTGCAGTTGGAGTAACTGTGTGTGTTTGTATCTATGTATATACATTCGTATGTGTTTATATATGTGGCATCTGTATCTGCATAGTCAGTATAACAGCCCCTCAGCAAAACACACCAGCTTGTCTGTGTGAGAGTGTGTGTGTTTGTGTGAGAGTGTATTCGTGTGTGTGTGTGTGTGTGTGTGTGTGTGTGTGTGTGTGATATGCGAGTGTGTTGGTATGTGTGGGTGTGGCTGTATGTTTGTGTGAAAGTCTATATACACAGAAACTCTCTTTTCACAGAAACGGAGCCAATTTACCCATGGTATTTCTATATGAATGTTACATATACATACAAATACATGATGTAAACAATTAATGTATATGTTTTCTCTTCTATTTGTCCTACAGCAACACAACAGCAGTACTGACCCGATGGCCACGCAGCATTTCGGCGCGCACAACGGTCCGGAGGGCGTCCCCGTCGACGCGGGCGCCGTGCACGACTGCAGCCAGCAGACGGACCTGCCGGGCGCCGAGCACACCGGCATGGTCCACGCACACGGCGAGCCGCAGGTCGCGGTCGGTACAGAAACTCACGAGCCAAACACAGGTCCACAGAGCTTTAGTCAACAAACAGTGAGTTTTACAGCTTGTACTGTAAGTCTTCACATGATTTTATCATTTTGTGAGAATTCAATTGTCACTGTAATTTGTGTTTTCAAACTTGTGTATGACTACCTGGTACTGTACTATAGAATTGTTTCAACTGCAAATTTAAAGGTACCAATGCAGTTTTAGGGCTTGAAAACCAGATTTTTCGTAGTCAATATGCTAGTCACTTATCTACACACGAAGTTGAAACACTATCCCAATGTATTTTGACATTCATGAAGCAAAAATACCGGAAATGGTGATGGAAAATGGTTACTGCTAGGACCCTGATTTTTGGGGTACCTTGAAATTAAAGGACTTATCTTAGGACTTGTTTCTGTACTGTTTTAAATACCCAAAGTATGAAATACTGCTGTGCTAATGTTGGGCAGTATGTGCCAATATCATACAAATTGCCTTATCCAGAATATTTGTAGTTTTGCCACTCTGAAATTGCAAATTGGATGCCTTTAAAAAACAGCAAAAAGCTCCTTTTCCCTTCTAGTATGATGACACAACCCACTGCAACATTAGATGACCCTACAGTATAACATACCTCCCAGCCCAGTCACACTGGGTAGAAATATCCCAGCTGCTTGATAACAGAACCTGATACTCACCGTATGTAAAAGGAGAACCATTTGCCTCAGTGGAAAATTCCAGTAATGTTTTTGGCAGATAATTTTAGCGCTCGTTTAACAGATGTATTTGAGCCGTATGTTTTCCTTTGAATCACAGAAAGAGGTCATTATATCTATATCTGCTTGTTGACATCTTATAATTTGTTACATTTACGTGATCTTGAGTTCATATATTTGTAAACAACAATTGATCATCAAGCAGATTTTTGGGTGGACAACTGTAACATTTATAAGCAGCCATCTTTTCTGACAGTTACAGTTGTCTACTCCAACATCTGCTTGGAGACAAGATGTTCTTAAAAAGAAAATAACACTTAAGCCTTATCAAAATGTAAAATACCGTAAATATTGAAATATTTACAATGGTTTTATTTTCAGGGTGACCTCTAAATCGTGCCACTGCGGATATTTGTTATGTATTACTACTGTAGTACAGAATTTGTTCGACTGTTCACAAAAACTCCAAAAACGTCCTTTGAAATTAACTCCCAATGTAAATGAATTGAGTTTGAAGTTCTGTTGTGAAAAGTATTTTTTTTGTTGCCATTTTTCCCTGCCAGCAAACCACTGAGGCTGAAGTACAAACGGGAGAAGCCACGGACGTAACGCAACAGACAGCCGCCACGGCAGAGGCTCTGGCCTCCGCCATCACCAAGAGGTTACACGTATCAAATATACCCTTCCGCTTCAGGGATCCAGACTTACGGCAGATGTTTGGGGTAAGTGTTTATCAATTTTGTTCTTGATCAATCAAACTTTGTTTCGTAACAATTGTTAAAGAATACTTTTAGAAGACCTTATTCCAACGCACAGTTTATAGAGATGAAGGCGACAGTGGTCGCTGAAAATTTGATCTCTCTGTAAACTGTGTGTTGGAATAAAGTTAAACGTTTTACTATGATTACTACCAACACAGATGAACTTTCATGATAAACTTTAGAAGACCTGTTCAAGTAAAGATTCTGTTAGTCACTGCCAAAAAGTAGTAGATGTTACTTGAACCATCTGACATTCTCAAAGTCTATTCAGTTTCTTGTTTATCTTATTACCTGGATGTCTGTCACCACTTTAAATGATATTTCTTATTTCTTTGATATAGATAGACATCTAATGTTCCTCTTTTTCCTTTCAGAAATACGGTCAAATCTTAGATGTTGAAATCATTTTCAATGAAAGGGGATCCAAGGTATGTGGTCTTTCATTTTTTCATGTGTGACTATTTTTTGATGGAGTGTTGATTGTTGTCTGGAAGTTACAGGGTTCAAAAGAGTTCAGAAATTATAAGGGTAGTATTTTTTTTTCGGAAAAATGTGAGTGAGAAGGCATAGTGTAACTTACACTGTAAGATAGTGGAATGACCAAGTTGGGTGGTGTGTGATCAGTCTTCTGCTAGGTAGCACTTTAAGAAACTTAAAAGTGGAGTTTCTAACTAATCTTAGCCTTTCCGAGAAGGGGAAATTATTTTTACATAATTATGATTAATTAATTGATTGAAGTCAAGAATAATATGACATAAACGTATGGTTTCACAATACTGGTAGAACACATATGTCATGGGACAGCAAAGTACTTGTCAATATTAGCATAAATTTGCATGTTGATCAACACTATTCAAAAGATGAAGAAGAAAAAAACAAAGGCCAACTTCAGTTGCACTTTGTTGTGACAATTTAGGGTAAATGGCAAGAAGGTGTACTGTTGTTAAATTCTGCAGTTTCTATCAGGGGCTCTTAAAACTCACATCTATTGCTAATGAGATTTACATATATAATTTTTGTAAAATGTAGACTTTTTAGAGATATATAATTTGGCTTGTTTTTCTACCCAAATTAATTTTTTTCCTTTTGTTTTTCATTGTGAATTGTAGATTTTGAAAAGAGCTTAATACAAATAATTAACAGTGAAAAGTATAGAAATATAGTGTCACAAGTATTGAGACCTTACAAGTATCATCAATCATGATAGTACTATTAGTTAATCAGCAGGTTGTACTTGCCCTGCGGTACTTTTTTCTCATCAGCTCAGAACCCTGTAGCTTCCTAATTGCATTGCATATAAAAGTTGATTGATGTGTTTGCTGTGATTGTAATTGTGTTGTACGAGTGTCTGTGCCAAAGCAACAGTCCCAAGCTGGGGCCTAAAGCACTACAGAAGGTGCATGAAGTTTGGACAACTTGAGAACGAATTGTAAGTCGTAATACCAAGACCTTTCTGCAATATTCGAGCGTCTAAATTATACGGTAAAGCCAAACTTGGTACTTTTGCTTGGTGCAGGCAATGACAGAAATGCCACAGACATAACTACAAAACAAAGAGACAAACAAACAAACAAACAAACAAGCTCACAAAGCTAGTCTTTATTGAAATTATTTCTATGAGACTGATTATATTTTCAAGAAATTTTATGATTGCCAGATAACAGTATGCCTCATTGCTTTATTCAAGGAAGTAGAAAAGCTGAATGCTTCCAGCAGAAAGTCTTTTGAAGATGCAAAAATTGCAACATGCAGATCCTGTAGTTTCTACTTTTGAGTCAAGTGTTTTCCAAAGAAACAGAAATTAATCACAAGAAATTTATGACTGTTTTATATACATGTAGAAACAAACAACCACATTTCTGAAAAATTGTGCTAGGGGTCCGAAACTTGGACATTTTTTTTTTCCTTACAACGGAGGCCAAGCCCTTTTTTTTTACAAACAAAAGCTTTAGATACACCTATACATTTCCTTCATGACAAGAAAAGAACTCAAAAGAAAGGAACAAATGAACAAATGAACAGATGCAATTTTATAGGAAGCTGGTAGGGTCTCAAAATTTTACTACATCTATTTGGGGTTGAGACTTCCCCCCAAAACAAAGAAGTAAACAAGTATAAGTCACACAAAACCTGTTGAGAAGTTTGAACACAATAATTCTGATTGTGAACCATTGAAATTGTAGCCTCCTTGCCAGAGGTGAAAGTTGAATGTTTGGTGGCATTTCTGTCCCTAGTAGCTTGTTGAAGGAGAACCTTTTCATAGAGTTTACCGTATCTCACTTCAAACTCTTCCTACCTGTACGTTAACTTACTTCATATTCTATCCCACTTTATTGTTTTGTATTACTGAGTGCAAACTTATCATTTAGAAATCCATCTCCTTCAACGGGCTACAAAAATGTGATTTTAAGAGTGTGTTTTTGAAGTTTTGTCATCAAAAAATCATATAATTTCGTAAAATTTTGCTTGAGTTTTGGTTAAAACTGTTGCTCTTCTATTTCTATACTTACAAGAATGCTGCTTGCCTAGCTATCCAAAAATTTAGTTCCAACGACTTATTTCATGGTGCTGTAATGCTATGCAACTGTCCATGGCCAGGCTAGTCAGGACACGATGCATTGCATGCAGAAACAAATCTCTTCCTATGATGGCACGGTGTTCTTTTCTCTTTCTTTACTGTGTGCACAATTTCTCTTGTCTTTTTCCTTCTTCTTATTGAAATGCATGACAATTCTTTTATTATTGATAGGCATTGCATGACGTCTAATTGTATGCATGTTGTTCGTTTTTCCTCCTTTGCATGCAGGGGTTCGGTTTTGTACTTTCGCAAATAGTGCGGACGCCGATAGGGCAAGAGAGCAATTGAACGGCACAATCGTAGAAGGACGAAAAATCGAGGTGCATGTTTTCCTATGAAGTTAATCTTTGTGTGCTTCTCTGTACATCTAAGTACTACTCTTTTGTATATACATATATATATATATGTACAAGTATATGCTGTGTATATATATGATAGAATACCATTTGTGAGGCTAGGGCTTGCACTCAGCCAATGTTGAAACACCACCTACTCTATCTGCATAAGGATGCATCTTACTTTTGCTGAAGCACCACAATACCATTTATATATAGGAACACCCTTCCATTCAATGTAAAATGCACCCCGAAAAAAAAATACCTAACATTTTTAAAGGCCATATTTTGGCAGGCGAAAAAAAACAAACAAAAAAACTTCAGACGAAAAAGTAAGATGTTTCTGTGACAACCAGCCCAAAGTTTGCAGTCCATAAGTAAGTTGTAAGTGTTGCCATATTTTGCCTCTCGTTTCATTTCTCAAAGGACGTTTTAGGCCCCCAATTCCACTTCAGTGCAAACGTAGCACGGTAGCGTACACGTGTACTGTCGTTGAAAGTATGTAAGCCGGTCTATATGGGGAGCTGATACGGCGGGTAAGTGCTTCCCGAAAGCCTTACGGTTTCCCACCAATGCAAGTATGGCTCTGAAACCTCATTCGTGGCACCCTGTTTGTACATGTTACTGCACTTATATCAGCTTGTATATGTACAAAAGCCTCACAAAAACTGACTGTTTTAAAGAAAGAAGAGAAAAAAAAAAGAGAAAAGCTTGTTCTTTGTGGTGATGGTGGTGGTTACTAGTGGTGGTATGGTGATGGTAGAAAGTGCTGTGTATGTATGGAGTTTTTGAGGCAAGTTCCTTAATAGAAAGTGTTGCATGGTTGTACATAATACGTCAGCCTGGTTACCATCCAGACAGTTGCACCTTGCTTTGTAATCATTACTCCATAGAGGGTCGCATGCAGCCAGACAGTTGTGTCTCGTACTTAAATGTGTTTCCATCCTGCCAACACTGTCAATTGTCATGCTCCTGGTCAGCAAGTCAAGAGGGAAAAAATAGAACTCATTTTCTCAACAATTCACGTACCATTGGCTTCTAAATTTTCTTTGTTTACTGTGCATTTGAAAAAAAACTAAATGTGAATCTAGAAATTTGACAAAAAAACTAAATGCAAAAAAACAATGTAAAAAAAATCTAAATGTAAAAAAACAACTAAATGTAAAAAACTCTAAATGTGGAAGTAAAAAAAGCTTAATGAAATTCCTACCTGACTTGCTTGTCCACGGCACCAACACTGACACTGAAGAAATTTTGAAGACATTCACTACTGACGTTTACCCAAGCTCTGAAAATTTGTCAATGTCTCGACTCTCACCTCTCTTGTGCTCGAAGGCTGTCAGCTACGTATACTGTAAGCCCTGCGGCTGAGAACGAACGATCGATCGTCTTGGATAGCATTGAGAGAATGGTACAAAAATCCATCTTTGGCATGAGTTTTTTTATTCCTCTATGGTTCAAGTGGTGTAAAAATTCCATCCATTCTGCCAGATATATTCACACGTTTCCGACTCAGTCTGTTACACGCTGCATGTAGGCCTAACATATATTTATATGGCTCTGTTCTCTGGAGTAATGAATCTGTATATTACATCAAAGTGTATTGTTAAAGCTTGCTTTAATGTGTCTCTATACTTATACCAGTGTCATGTACCTATATGTATACTCTGTTTGAATACGTATGTAAACCATGCATTGTATGTAAAAAATGCTCTCCATATACCTTTCTATACAAACCATTGAGACAATGTAACTCCTACATGTGAGCCCGCTGCTATACACACTTCCACAAGTCTTCTTATATCATTTCTGTCATCTGTCGATCACTGTCAAGCTTGTATATTTGACTGTGATAATGCAAGAATAACTGAATCCCTTATATCTCAAGCTTGTACTCTTGTATCATTTTCTGCTTAGTTACTTTTTCCCATTGCACTTTTTTTATATTACCTCTGTACTCTTCTCTGTAATATTAGTTTTGGGCTGTGTTGTCATTTGCATGTGAACCCTATGCCTCATGATTCTATCTTCTGTTCATTAGATTCTATGGTATTCCTATATTCTTGTTCAACTATTGCACTTTACCTTGCTTATCCATCAGAATCAAACTGCAATGAATTTGTGGTAGCGGCATGCCAACAAGGAAAATTGATGAGAAAATCCATAGAATAAAAGCGGCATAGACGTTTATTACAAACCCCAAGTTCCTAGAATAAAAGGTCTAATGTCAAAATTTACAAAATTGTTGTCAATTGAGAATATAAAAGGAGAAAAATACATTCAAGTCTTCAATTTTTCTTGAAGATAAAAAAAGAAAAAATGTCCTTGTATATTTGAGACAAGTTCTGTATTTTGATAAAATTAGTTAATTTCGATAGATCCGAAAACAAGTTCACTGCCAGATGTTGATTCTGATTGGTCAAGGTGTACTGTACTTCTTTGCATCTTCTTTTGTACTTTGCTTGATGGTATGGCATATTAATTTGGTTTTCACAATGGAGGTTTTGGCAGCCCAACGTGGTTCCTAATACATTTCCCATAATCCTATCAAATTCAAAATCTTGCAAGCAAAAGCTTGTAGAGAGAAAAAAGACTTTAGAAAGCAGGCATGATATTTTGTCTTTTATTCAGAAAGATAAATTAGTGATTTTGAAGTTGCTCTCTGATAATTTTTGGCAGTAAATGGCAGTTATTTGAGAGTTGCCTCAAAATTACGGACCATTTTCTTCGTGCGCACAAAATAAATGCAAAAACCCAGAGCGTTGCACTGTGCATACTTAGTAGTTTACCTGAATTGATCTTTTAATGGGTTTTGAAGAAAGCAAATGCAAATGGCCTGTCACTATTGTTTAGTACATAGCAGTGCAGTGTTTCTAGCTTCCTGCTATAGGGGTTTTTCCATAGAGGCCCTCCATGGGGGCTTGCCATACTGTCTTGCTATGGAAGGCTACCATGGGGGTTTACCACATTCCCACATTGGCCTGCCAGAACCTCACTTTTATGCTTTCAACCACTTCACACCCTCTTGCTTGTTGCCTGGTTTTCCCCCTCCCCACCCCCTGCTTGTATCTTGGTACTTGACCCTCGTAAAAAAAATCTGAGAAAGATCTTTGAAACCAAAGACTGTCGAAATGCGATCTTTGGTGCATGAAGTTTACTAGTCTGAAACATTTCGAAATTCATTTTTTTTGTGTCCCCTTCACTGCAAAACTCATGACAGTGTGAATATGTTTCCATTGTGTTACAAAACTATTTCAATGGTACAATTGAAACACACACACAAAACACTCCAACTTTTGCTTATCTGTTGTAATATTTTCTCTAAAAGCGTTTTTAGCATTTTTGTGACTTTGCTAGCACTGTCGATAAATCTATACACATGTACACGAGGGTCTTGTACCAGGTTGTGTATTTTCATTTTCTTGTTGACAAAAATCCATGTCGTCTATCCATCCCACCTGTCCCTATATGTACACATTCTTCACCCATTCATACACTACATGTATATACACCACTGCTGGCTCCATACATACACTATAACCCTCATATATATGTGTGTAACACTAAACACATACATACATCTACATGTGACACTACTTATCCATTGTGTGCTACATGTACCCCCCCAGCCTGAGATTTTGCATACGATAAATCTATATTTAGTAAGAAAAAATGTAAGAAGCGTAGAAATTTGTAGTTTCAAGAACAAGAACTTGGTCGACAGTGGAAATTTTGTATGAAAGTCAGCATGTTATGCAATAACTTTCATACGAGATATCCACAGAATTTAAATCCGGTTAATAGAGTATGTTAAGAGCATATACCAGCACCCCCCTTCCCTGTACATGTTGTCATCCCCCCCACTGTTCGTGTGGTCCCTCCCGCTAATGCCTCCTCTGTCCAAATGGTACAACCCTACCCAAGTGCATGCCTGCTGAACTGGTTGAAAAAATAGTTACTTTTGTTGTTTATCATGAATCATTTTCAATGAATTTTGTCGATTTGCATGCTATTGTTTGCCTGGGGCAATCCTCAAGACTTTAAGAATGATTTCAACGATTTCCTCAAAACCGTGTATAAGTTATCCTCCAGAAAGATTTCAAAGACTTTTGCATGATTTTGGACCTCCAAAAATAGAGTTTTCTCGTGGTAAGAACTTGAATATTTCTTCATGTCCAGACGTTAAATTGTCTTGAATCTTTGCCCCAGCCAAGCGAGAGCAAACGTTGCACATTTCCTTGGCTTTCCTTGCATGTGTACTACCGCTGTATGTAACCGAACTTTGAAGTGACCGAATGCTCTGTCTGGTTTTGTATAACAGGTGAATAATGCAACCGCTCGTGTGATGACCAATAAGACTAGGGGTGCGTATGCAAACGGCAAGTAGACCGATGCTAGCAAACCCGGACACACCGGAATGCACCGATTTTTTAAGCTGTGGAAACTGCTACTACACATAATAATTTGTATTTTTGATTGCATGCATGGCAGTGTACATGTACTGTAGCTTACAGCACTTAGCATACGTTCACAGTAAAGTAGATTAAGTATGTTATCACACATTGCTGTACATACTTAATGATCAATGGTAAAAACAACACGATAGCAGCTTTCTATACACATGTTGAAATAGCGCACATAGTATGACTACGGTATCTTCTCTCCACGCCATGTTTCGTGTTTCATCTGTCGTTGTCCCGTTGCATCTTGCACTAGAACGCTGATCGGAATGACGTAATGGTCCGTAGAATCCGCAAGTAAAAAAGAAAAAAAAAGTTGCCGGCTTAGATTGAACTAATATAATCTTACTTCATGTATTGTTGTTTTGTTGTTTACTGTAAGTTGTTGTGTTTATTTCTCATGTTTGTTTGTGTTCTGTATTGCAGGAGCGTTCCGTGGTGGGCGTGATTTTATAAGGGGTCGGGGGCGTGGTGCCTTCAGTGGTTTCCGTGGCCCCCCTCCCCCTCCTATCCCCGCCTATGCTGGGGGTTATGGGTATGTACCGGAGGCCACCATCCTGGACTCTACTGTCATCTCCAATAGGCAGGTCTTTTCATCATTCTAGGTGTTAGTGGTACATAGCATAAGTTTGTTAAAGCATGTTAAATACTCTTCTAACCTTCAGTTTGATAAGGTTAAAGCCGTTTGGCATAAAATATGAATAGGTTACGGGTTAGGCCACAGATTTATGATAAAACAGACAAACCTGTTTGACATTACATGTATGACTATGTTACTTATACATGCACTGAAGATAAAAATAAGAATTACATCTATTATATATGAGGATTTTATTTCTTAAACTTTAACAACAATGGAAAAGGATTTTGCCTGGCTTGTTCAATTGTAGAAAAAATTACTAATATTGTATTGTCATCATTAAGAATTATTTCCGTTAACTACATTTTGTAAATTTTTGTATAAATTCCACAAATACATTTAACAGTTTAACCGTATAACAGCCTGTTCAATGTATAAATTTAGTAGTTACTGTAGTAGATTTATTTCTGCATAATATTTTTATAGTAGGTACCATAATCTCCAGTAAATTTTCAGATTACCGCGGGTACTACTGTGTTACACAGTATTTTACTAGTATTTTATAGCAGGTTTATTGAGTGTGATTCAGACTTATTTTTGCCCTTCCTATATACTGGATATCTTTTATGATACTAACAACCTTTAGTACTGACCTTTGTTACAGTAACTATCCCATCTGTTAGTTTTAACATCACAGTTTTCTTTCCCCCCACAGGGCAGCCCTGTATCAAGATGGTTTCTATGGTGACAGATACCAGGTGAGGACTAGTGAGATGGCTAGTGATAGTGGGGCCTAGGAACATTCATGTTGTGTTTCCTGTTTCAGTCTTGAAAAAAAGTAGGGTCCGTAGGTTAGGAGTATTTTCTTTTTCTTTAGATTTCGACTGAAATGATCCAACTGATAAGTTTAACATTGCATCAGGACTGTCTCAAGGACCTGTCCACCTGTTTGCTTGTGATCAAATATTTCACCCAATTTACGGAAGAAAAAATTGCTTCTGAAAATGCATTAATTGATGTTTCAGAAATTCAGAGGGTTAGAAATTTAGATTTCAGATCAAAAATTTTATAGGCTTACCAGAGGTCAATAAAAAAAGGCTAGGGCCAGCAGGTATGGCTAGGTTTGGTTGGTAAACTGGAAACACAACTTTTTCTTCCCTCTGCCTGAGATGGTTAGTGACAGTTGTACAGTTGATTTATGCTGAAGTAGATACAGTCTAGATCTCAGGGTCTGATAGGGAAGCTGGTCTGCTCGATAAAAGACCATCGTTATAAAGATTGATGACCTACGCTTGCAGGGAAACGGACGAGGGTTGGTCGAGGATTTTGCAACGGTTTTTATGACTGTTGATAGTGAAGAATTCATGACGGGCTTCCAACTTGCTGTTATATATATAATGTTTCTGAAGTGATTTATGTTTATGACTGGAACTGCCTTTGTTTATGTGGCTCTTAGAATCAGTGGGGCCAGATTTTCCGACATGATAAAAATGAAAAGCTTTGTAAATAATGTAACTAAGTTCAGTTCACTAATTCACTAGTGGTTAGAGACCTTGTATGACTCTGGACCAAGAAGTTGAGGGTTTAAATCTCGGCTGTTGTCGCTCACCGGACGTGCATGCTACTGGTTAAAATTCGTGGTCCACTGTTAATTGTGCTTGGCAAAAAAGAGGCCAAGGCCAAAAGGGCAATTTCCCCAATAAAATAGAGCTGTAAACTGTACTACTGTAAATAGTATCTGTCTTCTCTGACACGACCAGTGGAAAGAAATATTCTGGACAAGAAAATCTGTTTGATATTGAAGTTTGCAACCATTTTTTACCACAATTTCGTCATCATTTCATACTTGAAGCATTTGAAATAGCCCAAAACCAAGCTACATGAGGCATCTCTATATTTTTCTTTTTCTAGAAATAGCTAGACATAACCTACGATACAGAACAAGCAACCATTTTATTCTGTCAGCAACATCGCTTTTTTGCCTCTAAGATATCAGTATGCTATAGAATAGGATACGTTCATGTTGTTACATTAAAAAGAATGACCAGAAAATTGACTTTGAAAATACAATTCTACTGCACTGAAATTACATTTGCATGCCTTAAACTGGTTGGAGATTGCTTTCGATTTCACAGACTGATTTTTTGTTCTTCTTCCCAGTTCTACCTGCCCGACCAGGCAGCCAGCTATGCATACGCCGGCAGCAGATATGCACAACCAACGGCATACGGCATGGGGTAGGTACACACCTAACAACGGGCACATCTCTGGATGGGACTGAGAACACTAACCATTATTAACACTCCCATTCCACTAGTAAAAATCTGGTCAAAAAGGCTTTGACCTGACTTGATTGGAAGCTACAACCACTGAGCAACCAACTGTTTGACAAATTGCTCGCTCATCGAATTTTATGAACCATTTAAAACTAATTTTTCTGACTTGACTGGAGGCTAAAACCACTGAGCAACCAACTGTTTGACAAATCGCTCGCTTATCGAATTTCATAAACCAAAGAACTCATTTTTCTGTGTGTTACCCTTTCAAAAATGCTTTTGTTTCAAATTTGGATCACGAAATAACGAGTCACACAAATCCAGATTGGTTGATCAGCGATTGTTATCTAGTGGAAGGGACCTAACGAACTATTAACAATTTACATCTTAAAATTTTAATCACAATGTAGCAAAAGTAACTAGGGTTCTGAAATGGAAAATCTAGTTTTCATTAGCACAACAGTTTTCACCCTGGAATTGCAGTAAATTGGGTTGCAAAAGCATTTTTTATGTTGTACAGACAGATGCGTGACCACAATTACTAAACAGTTTACTACTGATTTTGATATTGGAAAGAAAAGGACATTCAGTATTCAGAAGAATATACTTTTCATGTAAAAAGTATTTTGTATGGGGGTGCTTTGGTCTGGCTTTATACATGTAAGATACAAAATATACGAATATTAGTTATGATTTGGCTTGTCTAAAAATACAGAATATACAAGAAAATTAGTGGCTAAGCCAGGGATAAGTCAACTTTAGATCCAAGCTTTTTCTCTCTATTATAGACAATATTTAGTACAGTCTACATTATCTATTGTACATGTAAGTTCATACGTGATGCAAGTACATGTATAACGTCACCCATTGAGGACACTCGTGCTACGTACATGCCATGGTTAACTGCCACGCATTTTGAAAGAATGCTGGAATGATGCGTTATGTGATGTCATATGCATCTTTCGTTTAACACAGTGGCTGATGGTACAACTACTATTACTACTACTACTACTACTACTAACTAATGACTAACTCGGTACTGCTAGATTGTGCTAGATGTGGTTGTATAATACTAACGATGCACCTTGATCTGTGAGCCTTGTGCACTGTGCATGGATGCATGTTTGTAAAACGTGTCTTGTTCTTTTTTTTTTTGCTCTCCCTCATATCACACGGCCTCGTGCAGTTTCATCGCTGACTGGAACGTTGGTGATCTTTGCAGGTATGGTCGTGAGTACACCGACCCTTACCACCACACCATCGGACCCGCAGGATATGGGGTAAGGGTCGCTGTAAGTTAGCACAAACCTACATTTCCTTTCTGCGTACGGTCTCGTCCGTCCTTGTTGTACGCACTTGCTGCATGCAATAGACAAGCAAACATCCCTTGTGGGTCGACCTATGATGGTCAATAAACCTAGTGAAGATATCAGGGTTTTGTCCGAATTGGCCAGGTTTTTACTACTTATGATAGTCACTAAACCTGGTGCAAATAGCAGGGTTTTATCAAACAGGTAAGGGTGTGGGGAAATGGCTCAACCCCAGTGGTGTTACCAAAAACTTAGACTGAATACATTATAGATTATAGAAATGAATAATTGTCTTGTCTTGCTACATGAATTTTTATGATAACACGAGGTTCATATTTATGCGGGTAAGATTTTCCTTTAAAAACTTTTGCACCTGGTAAAGATTATAAATGTGAATATTGTCGATAATACTTTAGCTTGATATTGTTCGATATTGTATTAGACATACATAAGTCAGACAATGTATGCTTCTGGTTTATCATCATAGTCATCTAAAACTGAAAGGTTTTTTCTTACCAAAGCTACTTGTCTTTCATCCTTAATGACAGCATTTGATGCTTGTATTTATTCTGTATCGTTGCTACTTGTATCATGGCTTTGCTCTGAATAGACTGTCAGTTTTCACATTGTGATTATGATTTTGCAGTGGTGTTTGTTTCATCTTTGTTGGTAAAGTTGTGTATATTCACAGATACACATGTACATGTAGCCCTTATACTAGACTGTTGTATCATTTTAGACAGTGTCATTTAATTATCACCCGGAATGTTCATTTTCTTAAAAACTTGTGGGACTGAAGTAAAAATTATTGTAAATTGTGAAAATTAGGCGGTATTTTTTACAGTTTTTGTGATCCACTGCGACTTTATCTTCCTTGTATGACTACTGTACTACAGAAGTGTTTCAACTGCAAATTTAAAGCAACTGCAAAACTGAAAACACTGCGAAAGTTTCACGATTTGTAAATGACCGTCCATGTCACATGACTTTCCAGTCCTAACGCTTGTTCGTCTTTTTTTCCTTTCCCTAGGCGAGCGTGTACCGTGGAGGTTACAGCCGTTTTGCGCCGTACTAAACGGTTGAACCACCACCCAACACCGCAGGCGTAGGTACCTCCAGTTTCTCCCATGGTGCATCGTGTGCAAGGGCGTCCTAGCCGCCGCCCCCCCCTCTATTTATGGCAATTGTACATGGGATAAAAAAACTCTCGTCATGTAATATTGTTATAACATATATAAAAGATACTGTTATTATTAATAATGAAAAAACAGCGAACAATCAGTGACTTTCAAATTCATTATGATATAATCAAGTAGCGACCATCGATAAATGTATCTTAGCTAGGCCGTAGACAGATAGTTAAGTATCACATTGATAAGTAGTTATATGGGGTTTTTGTCGGAATATTATACCTTTCGATGAGGAAGGTAGATATATGACAGGTCTACAAAAAAAGGTTGATAATTATAATCAGGGTATAGACGGTAGTGGACAATGATTCTGTACAGATTTAGTAGTCGGTAGAGCCTGATGAAGGGTATACTCTACATATATGTGTAGAGGGTCTACATGTACGCGTAGAGGGAATTTTACATGTACAAAGGGCAGAATGCAATGAGCAAGACCCTCCTCTGTACAGTCACTCCTGCAGTATATTCAACTCTACAAGGACGTTTATAGCTATTAAGAAACTAGGAAAAAATTTTTAAACTCTTAGATAAACGAAAGACGTTTCCTGATATATATAAGGACTTTTGTAAGCCACTCTTGTGATCTCTACGCATTTCTGAATCTGATTTCTTATTTCTAACTTGTGGGAATTTTCTTTTATGTAGAAGTCTATTTCTGTAAATAAACCTTTGACTTTTTTTGAGCATTTTCATTTAATTTGTGCTTTTGACTGTGACTTTCAGCCTGTTCTATACCTCTTTAAGTTTCTCTGCTGTTTCTTTACTGTTTTGCTGTTTGACTTTGCTGAGGTAGGCTTGGATGATACCACGGGTTCTGGTGTAATATGACGTTTTATATCTACCACATACGTTCTGAACATACAGGACAACCTAACACTTGCGACTTTGACCGTTGACCTACATACATGTAACTCACATGGTACCCCATGCCCCGTCTTGTACCGGAGGCACTTTTTTCGAAAACGCAAAATAGAACTCGCAAGAAATGTCTACAATTATCACCCTCCAAATCATCTAACAAACTGTTATGCCACGACAGTTGAAACAATATAAACTTTTCAGATTTTCCATAGAACCCTCAACAGATATTAACAAACGAGTTTGAACCAACACAAGTCACTGACCTTTGACAACTTCATAACCTCTTGGTTATGAAAAAAGTCTTTTAGGCCAATGGTCATTGAACAATATACATTTCAATTTACATAAGCAATTGCCTCAACTTCATATTCATATTAAATAAAAAGAATAGCACTGTTTGAATCAGAAGACCACTCTGGTATATTATCTTACCCTGGGATGCCCTAAATAATAAAAGTGACCCACCAAAAGTATTAAAAGTGACCCACCAAAAATGATAAAAGTGACTCAACATATCTAATCATAAATCTCAAAGGAATGTTTGACGTGACTACTGCAATCACGTGGTAGTGATGTTACAAGACAGTCCCAATTCTACTGGACATTTATGGTCTGTGGACATGCAAGTTTGTATCATCTTGAATCTTAAAAAAAAAAAACTTGAAAAGAAACAAGCTTGCTCTCATGTCAAAAAGTGACCTCATATAAACAGATCCTATATTGGAACTACTTGAAAAATGAGATTCTTGTTTCCATTGCGCTATAATTATTTCAAAATTGGTTCAATAACTCAGGGATAACCCAGCATGTAACACAAACTTTACAAAGGACACAAGTGTGTTTTGACTTCCTGGTTAAAAAGCCATCACAAAAATTTAACAAATGTGTTCAGAAATGAAGGGGGCTTAAAGACCATTATTTATTTTGGTACCTTATAATGGTACCCCACTATGGTACAGGTACATGTGCAGTTCCATGGTAGCTTTTGGTACATGTACAGTTGTAGACATCTGTCTTACAACTAAAATTATCGTCAACACAGGAAAAAAAAAACATTGTCCTCAAATGTCTCAATTTTAAAGAGAATGATTATCAGATCAACAGGGTCATCTACACCACAAGATTGGGTTAATATCTCTACATGAAAAGCCCTTTTGCTAAAACTATGAATCAAGAAATCCTGAATTTCCCCCCAAAAAGTTCAAATTGTAGGTTGCACTTAAGTTGGCAGCAAATTCGACTGATGAAAAACACGACTGTTATTTCTGAACAGCTGCAATATTAACACGTGTCAGTAGATGGCGCAACTGTTGGCACATTTGAATTGGGGTACAAGGATTTCAAATACAACTGCCATTCTACCTGTCTTGCCTGTCTATATTATTCTCTACTGCGCTACTTTGCCCAGACAGACATCTAAGTCTTTTTTCCTTTAAACAAAGTGGTGCTGTTAAAGAAGGGTACTGTGCGTGTGATATGGTCAGCTCAACTCTACGAAAGTTTTTTTGTCAAATGACACAATCATGCAGTAAATGAAGTCAATTATTCTACATACATCAAGTCTAATTATCTAACATCAAACTTTTTTTATCACTAAAAATCTCCCAGTGTATGTGTACAGCGATTTTTGAACGGTGGTTTGAAAAGATGGTTCTCTACTTGAAGTGATGTGTTTGCAAATATATGGTGGTACATTGCTAAAGACTTTCAATGCAGTGTCAGAGTATGGCAGCTATATGCCACAGTCAGTATGTATTTGTAGCCTGGGTTTCAGACCTCTTGGGCCTACATGTACTAAAGCTACTCCACTGCAAACAAAGTAGTGACAGTAGAAGTAAATGGAAGCTCGAGAAGGCTGGGTCGCAGGCTATGAAGACAACAGTAACATGTTATGCAGTCTCCTTATTCTCATGTCTCAGGGTATCATACCACTGTGTTTTTTTCATCAACATGACCACTGTAGTTGGGGAGGGGGGTGGGTAGGTATTATTTCACCACTCAGATAGAGTTTGACATGACAAGTTTGTGGCAAATTCCACAAACCAACTACCTTGCCCATTATAGTTAAGATGCCACTCAAATTTTTGATAGCATCTAAACTGTCTTCTTGCCTGAAAAATGTACCCGCCAAATACCACTTTTTCTCGAACTGCTAAATGAGATTTGAGTCAAGAGTTTTGTTTTTTGTTAGGTATTACGAACCTGACAGTTGTCGACATTATGTATGTACTGCCTGCAGAAATTGCTTGGCTGGTTTTAACTCTCTACACTAAAGGTGGTTTACGCTACTATTGTTAAATGTAATGCTTGTTCTACTATAGCCAGTAGCTATTGGTAGGTAAGACTTACCCAGACAAATGTGTTTAGGGGCTGGTACACGTCAAAAATAGCGTTGTAGCATCAAAACTAAGTGGCTAGTTGGCACAAATGTAAACCAAAATTTAAGCATGAATACAAAGTGAATTTTAATGGCAGAATTAGCTATAATTTGCATATTTCAACAACACCCAATCTCAATATCATGGCCAGTTATAACAGATAGCAACTTGTACATATGCATTCATAGGAAAGGAAGAATTGTTCACTTTAGATAAGACATACAGGTAGGACTGAGTTTGTGCCAGGAAAGCACACATCCTTTCAACACACGACTGCCATGTTTGTTTTCAGTAGTACCTTCTGTAAATCTGCCGCTCGGCGATGTTTGAATTGTTCTCATTGGCCCGTTACAACCTCCTCCATCTTTGTCACGATCGGTAAACCTTGTCTCGGCGCTATGGTTGAACGTGTACCAAAGAGCCCCTGGCGTAGTGGTGTTTCAGGCATTCAGTGCAATTTCAGGGCAGCAAAACAGAAAATATTCTGGATGAGGAAATCTTTCTGATATTGACACTTACTGCTCTTTGTTAACATTTAAAGCATTTGAAATAGCCCCAAAACAAGCTACATAAGGACTCAAATTTTGGTACCACCGATAAATAAGCTAGAAACAGTCTACCATACGAAACAAGCAACTATTTTCCATCAGCAACATCACATTTTTTTTTGTGTCAAAAATATCAGAAGGCTATTGTATATGATTAGATTATGATTCAAGTCACTACATAAAAAATATGACCAGGAAAATTGAGTACAGAAATCCAGTTTTACTGCCCTGAAATTGCTTTGGGTGCCGTTAAGATTTGTTCTATTTTTATATATGTGTAGATAATGTGTCGAACTGTGCTCACTTTTTTTATCCGACATGTCCAAATACTCACATCTTGCCATGTATGTGCAATACAAGGAACGACCGAAGGTTTTTTTTAAAGAAAACGATCATAACAATTGATTGAATATCCCAAGTGCAAAGAAACTTCACAAAGACAATAATTTCAGAAACAAGAAGGTCCCACCGACAGTAGTGTTTAGCAACTTTCATCATGTACCAAATGTAGTTAGAATAATGTGGAATAAGAAAAAAAATACAGAGAAGTCAGTAAGATATAAATAGCAGATACTGACATGTTTTTATGTCACTGTATCTAAGCAAGGGGGCAATTCTCTTTGAGCCCTGATGTGCAAGTATATTATACCATTGTAAACTTTTCCATGTTTTCCTTTTTTTACTTCTGTATATCTACAACTATATGGAGTGTTAAACAAAATGTTATTTCATATATAAGTAAACAGGACAGCGATATTTAGGGCAATTTTGTATGTTATTTATATTGCCGTCATTTGTACCGCTCAGGCTATTTATTGTATCCATTGTATTTACGATAGTGATATGAATTATTATCCAATCAAATTCCATGTAGTAGAGCAGTCGGTAGGACAGCATGTAGGTATTTTAAAGACTGTACAAGTAGGTATGTATCAGGTTGCATTAAATGCAATAAAGTCATAATGTCAGATATGGAACTTTGGTCTTTTTGACTCATTTTATTGTGAAAGTTGATGAAGTCAATAATAAGTTAGATTCACATTGTCACATGCATCCAAAACTTGAACATTGGCGAGAAAAATGTATGTGTGTGTCTCATGATAGTCCTTTTCATCACAACCCCCCAACATATGAATGGAATAGTCCAAGGACAAGTGTTAGTGTGATGCTGCACTTTTTGACAAATTCGGTAGGTGGCACTGTTGCATGGGTAACTTGACAGCCAACCTTCACAGAATTCAAATTTTGATGCTGCCATAGCCTAGAGGACAAGTTGTTGGTATTCCAACCTGTCCTAGATACATGTGCCAAGGAGGTTTAAAATAAATCTCCTTGATGATACCTAGAAAAAGTAAACACCAAAAGTTTAGATAAATATAGCATTCCCTTTAAGCTGGTGTGTTACGCCGAAGGGCGGTTATACTGGCTATACAGATACAGATACAGAATGTGTCCATGCATGCCCTTGTTATGACAAATTGGTTTACATATGAAGGTTAAACATCCAAGTACATGATACAATCTACTCTATGAGACAAGTTTGCATGTGACATTGAATCAGTCATCTGTATACATACATGTAACATGTTGTCTTTTTACCTACTATTCTTCAACATAATACGTCCTATGAGATATAACATCATATAAGGTATTGCAAATCACCATGTACATTATGTACAATGTATAATACTGAGTAGTCGTCTCCTATACCACAAGATTATTTGCCTCGAATTAAAATGATCCTTGCAACAATATCATACCTCTTGATGATTGTACATCTTAAAATAAATATCACCTGTATTTTCCAGTATCAACTATCAATGAACAAACTTGTGAAGTTATTTATCAAACCATTTATAATAAATATATCATCTAAAACCCTGTCAACAGTGACCCTTCAAAATCACATTAAAAGTCTGAATCATAGATAAAATGGATCACATGTATACAGGGTGATCCAGATAAAAGTATTGCCCAACTGATGAGGGTTACAAAATGTATTATATAGGCCTGGATATTTGCGAAGTGCATCTCTATAAGTAACTACATGTATATAATTACATTTCCTACACTCCAACAGAAAATGGGGCAATATACTATGGTAGAAAGGTCACAATCTTCCCCACTAACCTCTGCTTGGGGAGTAGTGTTTCTCATTGATACCCTAATGAAATTCATCATCTACCAGTGATAAACATACTTCCTACATCATGCTGCATGCATTATAGTGATGCACTTCACAAGCTAACCCTTACCCTTAAATAACACCCCTTTGGAAGTTGGGCATACTTTTTCCCTGGGTCACTAAAATATCTTGCTGAGGTAAAAATAAAATACTATTTCTCGTCCCTGTTCCATCATCTGTACGTATACACCCGGTGAGACAGCCTGAGAGCATGGCAGCACTGTTCATACAGGAAGAAGATGAGTGATGAGGCACAGGCAGCCTTCAGGAGACTGGGAGACAGACCCTTGAACAAGCCTCGGGCTCCTTCCTCACGCAGCATACACTGTACACAGTGCACCAGTCCTGTGTACGCACGCACCTAAACAACAACAACGGTAATTATGTAAAGAAAAATCAAACTGTACTACTGGATGAATAACAGATATCTTCTCGACATTTCGAGTGACATCTGTCACTCTTCTTCCGTGTCACCAACTGAACCTCGAGCAAAATACTAATCACATGTGAAGGAACTGGAAAAAACGTTGAACATGGCACGCACAACAACAAACAACAGCAAATGAAATTACTTCACATACAGGTAGAGAAGGACAACTGTTTGAGATATATATGTATCAATAGATAGTGACTGGAAAACCTCTTGTCTCAGCTATCAGGTTTTCCTGTAAACATGTAGTACATGTAGTAGTAGTCATGGTGTAACCATCGAGCACTTTAGCCAAAATTGATAGAGGGTGCTGTTGACCAAGGTTAGAGTAAGACAGATGATGACTGTTGTTTCTCAAACCGTGAATGCTGAAGGGAGACATGAAGCACAGAGGGGTAGGCCCTCCCACAACAAAAAGGAAACTCTGAGCTAAGGGAGCTCGCGAAACAAAAGATACAGTGGAAGAAAATGAAAAACTAAATGCAGCTGCAGGAGTTCTCACGACTGCAGATGCAGAATACAGTGGATGATGATGATGATCAGGCCTTTTTAGTCTTCAGAATTCCTAGGCAGCCAGACAGCCACACAAAATCAACGTAATTCAAGCCTTATGATTTAACATAAAAGCAAATATAGCTATAGAAGTAAACCACACGTTCATGACGCAAACTTGATGTAGGAATGAATTCCTTACCTGTCCAAATGACCTCCTGGCGTGGTCAAATCCTTGGACCTGCAGCCGCTTCTTGACCACGTCCAGAGGGTAGACCAGAGTTTTACTGACCACCCCTGCCCCGGCCCCACACACCAGGGTCTTCACACCACCTGCAAACAGATTCATAGTAAAAAACATTATTATGTCAGAAAAAGCAACTGCATTGGACAAAATACAACCCTGCTGACCATTTCCTTTAAAACTACAGTCATGTTTAAAACAGAATTGATATGAAAATTGCAAAAGCTTTTGCATTTCAATGTGTCCATTAGACCCAGCTTATACATGTGTACCATGATATGAAGTATAACGTTAATATGTATAATCTCAATGCAGATCCTTCTTCATATTCCTATTCTAAAATTCTTATAAATTACATTGTATGTTTTTATTATTCAGGAAAGACCTAGGTTCCAAGGAGCCCACTAAAACCTGCTAGGTTCAAAATCAAATCGAGCCCCCAAACTACACACACAGTGAAGGGCAGAGCCTAATACCCAAACTGTAGCTCATCACCCACAGACATAAGCCATGCATGGGACCTGTTAGTGTTATTATGTAATTACTTACCTTGCTCAGACACAGACTGTGGAAGGTAAGCCCAGGCTGAGGTAAACATGGCGAACGTAGCAAACTGGAAACCAGCGTACGGGAATATCTGCACCAGGGTGGGAGTCAGACCTCGGTAGAACGTCCGTGGCCCCCCCTCCCTCCACATGGAACTGACTGCTTGAGGAATACTATGGTACACCTGGAAATGGAACAACAGTAAACTGTTGTACAAAAAGTGGAAGCCCTGCTGCAGTAATATAGAAAGCCACTAGGAGGCCTATGATTGAACCTGTCCTTCGTTTTGCTGCCTCCTACCCACATACCAAATCTCATAGGGATCCATCTACAACGTCTCAAGTTATGTATTGGGTAGGCAGCCTACTCTCTCTTTGCAGCCAATAGGACTGAATTGTGAATGTGAGGAGCTTACAATTATTGGTGCTTAATCACAAGGGTCCTAGGTGTGGCCATAGGTCTGTAAGGTTTGAACCACTCACACTGGGAAGTTCCCCTACTCTTTTCGATAAGTGTGGCATGTTCAATACTAGTAACATGCGTGAGGTGTGACTCTCCCCAAACACGGGACCTCCATTTAACGTCCTATCTGAGGGACGTCCCTAACCAAAGCTAGGTACTTCTGTATCTGTATCTGTATAGCCGGTATAACCGCCTTTCGGCGTAACACACCAGCTTCGCAGGCACGCGGCGCGGCGGCAGCTGGCTATATTACACCGATCGACTTGTTACACCTAACCCTTGAACTTCTAGCTCTAGACATTGTTTAAAGCTATCTATTGACAGTGCCCCTACTGTACTTGGTGACAGTGAGTTCCACTCTGCGATAGTTCTAGGAAAGAATGAATTCTTGAACACCTCAATCCTTGGTTGATAACTCTGGTACTTGAATGCGTGGCTATTTCTTGTTCTCTTCTGAGCTGGTATTAGGTACTTAGTAGTTGGGACATCCACCAGTTTATTAGTCATTTTGTACATCATGCATAGTCTAGACATCTTTCTTCTGTCTTCAAGTGAGGTCCACTGTAGGTTTCTTTTCATTTCCGTGACACTAGCACCTCTTACATAGTTGTTCATACAGAATCTTGCAGCTTGATTCTGTACCCTTTCCAATTTGTCTTTGTCTTTCTTTGTATATGGATCCCATACTGTCGCAGCGTATTCTAGGTTCGGTCTTACAAGTGACGTGTATGCAAGTGATTTTACTCTCGTTGGACATGCCCACAGATTACGTTTAATCACTCCCAATGTCTGTTTCGCCTTAGTTGTGATATTATTAACATGTGCACCCCACTTCAGTCCGCTTGTCAGCGTGACGCCCAGATACGGATGGATTTTTGTGGTTGCTAAAGCCTGACCACAAAACTGGTAGCTAGTTGCATGTGGTGTTCGTTTGTTTGTTATGTGCATAATGTAGCATTTTTCGGGATTAAACTGCATGAGCCATTTGCTTTGCCATTCTTCCAGGGTGTTCAGGTCTTTTTGGAGAAGTTGTGAGTCGGTCTGTGTAGAAAGCTCTACATACAATAGACAGTCATCGGCAAATAACCTGACATTTGAGTCAAGCTGATCTGGTAGGTCATTTATATACAAGAGAAAGAGCAATGGCCCCAGGACGGTTCCTTGAGGGACCCCAGACGCTACTTTAACTGGAGCCGACGCCTTCCCTTCAACCACTACTGTTTGCTCCCTGTTGGTCAGGAAAGCCTTTAACCAATTCAGCGTAGGGCCTTGGATTCCATAATACTCCAGTTTTGAGATGAGCCTGCCATGGGGGACTTTATCAAAGGCTTTAGTGAAATCAAGTATTGCTAAATCTACCTGCCGTTTACTGTTTAGTGCGCCAGCTATGTCATGGACTGTTAGTATAAGCTGTGTTTCTGTGGATCGTTTGGCTCTGAATCCATGCTGGTAATCCGTTAATATACTGTAACTTTCTAGGTGCTTCATGATTTGGCTATGGATGATATGTTCAAGTAGTTTGCAGGATATGCAGGTCAGTGAAACAGGTCTGTAGTTGCTGGGGACCGCTCTATCTCCTTTTTTAAAGATGGCGCATATATTTGCATCCCTCCAATCTTTAGGGATTTCTGCAGTGTTTAGCGAGTGTTGGAAAATATTGGTTAGAACAGGCGCGATTTCACTAGCTGTCAACTTGAGGAACCACGGTGGTATTTGGTCTGGTCCGGATGCTTTAGAGGGATTGAGACCTTGAAGCATTTTTTCGACACCATCAGTAGAAACTACTATATGTTCCATTGGAGGAGTACAGGGCTGACCTAGGGATGGCATATCTGTGGTGTCTTCCTCTGTGAAAACACTTTTGAACTGTGAACTGAGTACTTCTGCTTTTTTCCCGCTGTCACTGATGATGGTATTTCCCACCTTTAGGGGTGCTACCCCGACAAGGTCTTTCCTCAGTCCTTTTATGTACGACCAGAATGTTTTGGGTTTGTCAACTATAGCTTCTCCCAGTATGTCTGCCACGTATTTAGAGTGTGCTTGTCTTATGCTTTTCTGAACTCCCTTCTTAACTCTCTTATATTTGTTCCAGTCTTCCTCTTGGCCTGTTTTCTTAGCTTTGTTATAGAGCCGCTGCTTCTTACGACAGTGCCTCCTTAGGTTTCTGTTGAACCAAGGCAAGTTGTATCTGCTTGATGTTATCTTACTAGGGATGTGCTTGTTCATCGTGTCTTTCATTTTGTCTTTGAAGTCTGAAGTCTGTTTACTTATTTTCATCTGAGTGAAGTAAGAAAAGTGCTGTCCATATACAAAGAAACACACCCACTAAAAAGTCTTCTTGGCAATGCTCCTTCTTGTCACTAGGTGGCGCCACAAACCCAAGAAAACCTGGTACATGTACATCACAGTACATGTATTACCATACCTTAGGTTCTCCCTGAGATGAAAACCTAGTCCTGAGTACGTCGACAGGCTGACAGGCGCAGGTGGCTGCCATGGCTGACAGACCGCCACACATGAAGTGTAGCGCTGGCTTCCACGCACCACTGCTGGCCTCCGGGGGCAGCTGTTCCCACGCCTGTCTGGTCAGCAGCTCAAACACCGCAAACTGGGAGGAACAGCACACATGGATACATGGATGAATAGCTGAACAACTATACCAAAACATGGTGCTGTACCTATTAATATTATACCTATTATAACCCTCGGAAGATGGAGAACAATAGACGATAAACCAGATAGGGAGTGAGTAAGTGATTGGCTGTAGTCATCACCATATATGAGTATCAGCAGCTATGCTGTGAAATACATGTACCTGTACAACACCATATATTCAAGTGACAGCAGCTATAACATATATAAGTTATAATATTACCTGTACAGCACTGTGAGTGTAGCAGCTATGCTGTGACATACCTATACAACACCATATACAATATTCGACAAGTGACATATCTATGCAGCATAATATATGACACCAACTACAGTATATATGTTATGACATACCTGTACAGCACCATATATGAGTGACAGCTATAACATACATGTATATAGCTTAATATACCTGTACAGCACCGTATATAAGTGACAGCAGTTGTGCAGGGACATGGCCCTTCCAGAAAGCTGTTATCCCCTCCTCCCTGAACAGAGTAACCACAGTCTGCGGGATGCTCTGGTACTTCCCACCATGCTGGCCCTTCTTTATGGGCTCAACCTGGAGCTGAACAAATCAACAACATCTTATATTAAAACATCAATTTTAGCATTTTTTTCCTCTGTCTATGTAGGTTGTGTTTTTGGTGTGTCTGTTTGCTTTTGTGTTCATAGTTATTTGAATACAGCACTAGTAGAGTAACAGGTGGCAAGGGGGAGGGGGGTAGATGGTGTAACTGCAGACTGACAGGACATTGACTTCTTGTTTTCAAGGTGTCTACACCCAGCTTTTACCATGATATAGAATAAAATCTCAGTACAGATCCTTATCAGACTATTATAAAAATTCTTATAAATTATGTTGTTGCTTGTTTTATTTTAGGAACTAACCTACAGAGTAGACTTACCTAGTTCATTGACATATACCCCCCTCCCCACCATACACACACGCACAACCGAGCCCCCAAAATATAACGTTACACGCAGTGACAGTGACAGTGACAGGCAGACAGACATTTCTGAACGTCAGTCGTTAGACAAAATACTGCTGCTGTCTTCTGACTCCAAGCTTAAGTTATTTACGTACCTGGAAGCGTATTTTGATGACGTCCAGCGGATTACAAGCTGCCCGGGTGAGGAAGCCACTCACCCCGCCCGCCACGGCGTACTCAGTCGACGACAACTCTACCTTCTCCTGTGGGTCATAGCCCACCATCCTCCTGCCGACCGTACCCTACCCCTTATTACTTTCTTCCTGAGTGTAAAAACTCGGTCGTTGTCACATGTAACAGCAGTATTCTTGTGTTCCGCCCGGTGTTTTTCGTTGCGTAACGTTGACCTTTTTCTTTTCTCTGAGGTATCGGTGTGGTCTCGCACCAACGTTTCAGCGATTTCTCGACCTGTGTTTGACATGGAGCAAGCGCGCCCCTAGCGACTTATCATGATATTGCATGATAATAAAGTTGGACAGGAGGATGGACTTGTTATTCAATCCCTAGTATCGGTAGCGCTTGTACGTTTTCTATTTTACCAAAGGGTTATTTTAAGGTAGCAGCACGTCTACAATAAAGCACGTTAACATCCTAGATTATACGGCAGAACACAGTTACTCAAGCAACTCGATATGATTTTGGAAACGGTCAGACTTTTCAGGTAGCATCCGCCATACCTTTCGTCAGTATCTTAGTAATACCTGGACGTGTCTAACTTTCACCGACGTATGCTAGCTTATAGTTCGCCGAGTACCCTGCCGGCATACTATAAGATGTGATCAAGTCAGTGTATTTTAACTTCTTTGGTTTTTAAGGAGCCCCGCACGAGGCAGGGCAGAGAAAAATTGAGTTATAGACTCATTGACTGTTCCCCTCCACGGAAATCTTTAGTAAAAGGCGAAAGATTTGTGCGTGGGTACTGAAGGGAAACCAGAGTACCGTACAGACGTTGCCTTTTTTTCCCGGCGTTAAGCGATAACAGTTTCTCGACGTGGCAGAATCGCACGAGCAAATTTCCACTCCTGAAGGCAGTAACAGCATAGATGGATTAAATGTTTAATAATATCATGAACGTATTGTAATAGTTTATTAGCGGTTACGTGCGATTAAGAATTGCGCCACTTCTTGTTTCACTGTTGTCAACGTGCATGAATTTACAAATAAACTGCAATGTAGTTTAGTGGAGGTTTGAACGTGTTGTAACATCAATTTGGGATTTACATAATTGATACATATTCATGAGCCGTGCAATTTACTGATTAACATATTTCCCGGCAGTCCCAACATTTACATAACGTTACAGGTTTGAGAAAGATAATTACAATAATTCAAGTATATAAAGGCCAATATTTATAACTCAGGTGCAAATTCACCAACGGTAGACACATGAAAAAGTCAATAAAGTTTATTCCTCTAAGCCGAGGTCGTATTCAGATCTGCCTGCCAGCAAAGTTTTCCCGTACCGATCGTGAATTTCAGGAGAGAAGGAGCAGGCCTTGACTTCAGGCAGGTCCGACATGCGCTCCATCCACGCCGTGAGCTTGGGAAGCTTCTCCGCGGACATTTGGACGCCGGCGCGGGCCTTGAGCATGGGAACCCGCTCAAACCACGGCCACAGGTTGTAGTCCAGGGCTCCGACGTCGTCCCCAGAGAAGAACGGTTGTGTCAGTGCGCTCTCGATGTACTCCAGGCCGTCAACAAACTGTCTGGCCATAGCCGGGCGCTCGTCGTCCTTCCCTATGACCAACTTGTAGTAGACTGGAATCACCTGTTGTGAGAAGAGAAAAATTATAGCGTACTAGTAGCTTTGACGTTGAAAAAGGCCATACTGAAAATCACGTAAAATGTACCTAACAGTACGTATGTAAATGACGTAAGATACCACGAAAATCGTGTAAAATATACATATACTTCTTAAAAGTACAGTACTTTTAAGTTGACTGCCATGTTTAGGCCCATGGCACGCAGATTTCAAGTTAGAAATTCCCAAATCATGGATATATGGAAAACATAACGCTAATGTAAAAGACTATAGATGAAATAACTACGCATTTTTGTTGGAAAAAATAGCTTCATGATTAAAACAAAGAAACAAATGAAGGAAAACCTTTGCAAACCTTTGCACCCCATAGAGCCAGAACCATGCTCTGCCGCGCCTTCTCCAAAGGGTCACGCGGAGTGATACATTTGTCGGGGTAGATTCCATCCAGGTACTCGTTACAGACCAGAGACTCGTACACAATAGCCTGATTAAATCGCTTTTGCCGGCCGCCCAACATCCAGCCGGCCCCCGAAAAGCTTGGGTGGCGGACTATGTAGGGAGCCCCCCGGAGCTTGGGTTACATAGGCTACGTACACAATATCTCCGTCTTTCTCCAGTACTGGTACCTGGCCCATCGGGGTCTTCTCAAGAAACCACTCCGGTTTCTCTCTAAGGTGGATGTTGATGGTTTCGTACCTTGAGAAATTGAAGAAAAACTTTCATTACTTCCACTTTATTTGGGTGGCGATAACTAGCCTCTACCAGGCTTCGGGAGGCGGCATTCAGCGACAGTAGGGAGCCAGCGGAAACTACGGAGGATGCTACCCAGGCTATCTTTCTTGTGGCTTTCCTCTACATTACCTCACGGAAAACATTTGATTTGATTTTTTTGATTTGATTTATTGAAATTGAAACAGTGCAATACACACGGAACAGAGGCAGCTGTTGCAGGTGTTGTGTCCCGCACATAGAATACGAATACTGGACAGACAGTACTTATTTTCACTTGAGTCTAGTGGGGAAAGTCGTGTAAAGTGCCTTTCCCAAGGGCACAAGATCGGTGGCATGTCAGGACTCGAACCCGGGACCTCTTGATTACGAGTCGCGCACGCTGCCGTTGCGCCACACGACCCCACCCAAAACATTACCATTTAGAAACTATTCACCGGATCACTTTAATGTGATTTGTCCATCACAAAACGTACTTATACTTACTCTATCCCCTTGGCGGCCAGGAACAGCCGTGTCCGCTGCGCGTACGGACAGAACCTCATACTGTACAGGCGGAGTTTGCCTGGGCCGGGGGGAGGGGGGCAGGCTGAGCCTGGGAAGAAAAAAAATCACAATGATAATTCTAAAATCAATTGTAGAATAATTGATTTGCATAATGCAAGGGTCACGCATACACACACACACACACACACACACACACACATAAACATAAACACACACACACACACATTTGGTAACATCAGACGGATTGCACTACTTCACGCAGAAACGACCGGACTGTTTTTTTCCACCCCCAAATCGGACTGATCTGCTTTTTCCGTCGATTGGACTGGACTGTGTTTTCCGCAAACCCGGCCGTCGGCCATTATGAAATGTACACGCCGAGGGCCGCGGAAGTCGTCGCAGCGCACATTTTACCGAAAAAATGGGTACTTTAAAAGCCTGTAAAGCACGGGAACTTCAAAGAAATTTAGGGGAATCCTATATGAACATGTTTGTGTTGGTGGATTTTGCCGGCGTTGCGCGAGGGCCGATATTTTGCAAGGAGTAGTGGGCATTCGCTTCAAACCCGGAAGTAAAGTGGGTGTTCGCTAAGAAGAGACACAGAAAAAAACCCCAGTAAATTTCGATTTATTTAAGTTCAACTCGATGGATTAGCTCCAAACTTGGTAGGAACACACGGGAGTACACTCTGGACATGACCACACACAAAAATTAAAGCTTCGTGAGACAAATCGTGGGCATTCGCTGAAAAGAGAAACCCGGCAAAGCTAGTCACATGAAGATAAATTAAATACTTTCTCCTGGTCCGACGACAGCCCAACAAACTTACCTGTCTTCATGGCCTTTTCAGACAGCATGTCTTTAACTGTGGGTTGCGATCTTAGACAGAACCGAACAGGCAACTTTGAGACAGCTGAGCAGTGCATAAACCTTAATTACGTGTGACCCGGAAATACATGGCGAGTCGCCCTGTCATAGTAGTCTCCTTTGCAGGCATTCCGTGGGGACGTTTTTTTTTTGGGGGGGGGGGGCTTATTTTTGGCGGCCAAAGCTTTTAATGCGTGTGATTTACGTTTGATCTACCAGGCTTCGGGAGGCGGCTAAAAAGAGTAGAAATCGGCCAAATAGAGGGATAGCATTCCAGCTGCAGGGGAGTTTGAGTCCTGGAGAGGACAGTTTGCCGCTCCCGAAGCCTGTGCGTAGTCGCCATGTCGCCATTTCTATGAAGTCCACTAATCGGGAGCGGCAAACTGTTCTCTCCAGGACCTAACTCCCTTGGCATGCCATCTTTCTATTTGGCCGATTTCTTCTTTACTAGTCAACCACCTCCCGAAGCCAGGTAGAGGCTAGCAAATAAGCGCATCCGCCCCCAGAAGGTCTGCAAAGGAGGCTTGGTCTCCCCAACGGTAACCTACCTGCCAAAAATCATGAACATCAAACAGTGCCTTCAAGAGTCATGCCGCATAGTCTCTCCCACACTATAGCAAAGTGATTTCATAGCCTTCTTGTCTCAGGCAATTAGGTCAAAAAGTAGGGTTTAATGTTGTGAGCTGTTGTCAGAGTTTGAGCTGGCAACCCCCTGTTTTCTTTCAAGTATACTGTAGTTCAGAAACAGACTATTGTAGCGCTCTGGTGCAGAAGAATTTTTGGGATTGAAATGTGAGAAAGTACTTTCACGGGGACTTGTTTTAGGCCACTCCGATTTAATTTTATGGATGACATCCGCGCGCGCATTAATTTTCGCCTGTTCTAAAAAAAAAACCTCGCTGTTAATTTTCGCCTGTTCTCACGTCCTCTGAGGCTCTAGGCCTGGGTAGTTTAATAGCGACAATACGGAGCCAGTGGTAACTCTAGCTCAGGGGGATGGCACCACGACTCAAGAACTCAGCACATGCACAGCGCACGTGCCAGCTTGTCGTATACGTCGCTGTGTACTGCCGCAAATTCAGGATACCAGCTTTGTACAGAGTATTTTTTGTCGTTTAGTAGCATTTTTATTTTCGGTCGGAATTTTTTTTATTCGCCCGCGCGCACTAGTTTGGGGGTCTTCAGAGCAAGTCATCCATAAAATTAAGTCGGAGTGGCCTTAGTGTAATTAAGCATACGTTCCTATGGCCGGTCAACCATAACACTTACTGTGATATCTGCCCTACATTGCTGGACAGAGTGATGCCGGCTAATTATGAAAAACCAGTTCTTCTGATGTACACACGCAATTACTCTTTTCCCCAAGCGTTGCTGCGTCTCAGAAACCAGAAGGCCATTTCAGATCAAACAGGTGGGACCATTTGGCGCTTTACTGTGGTGGACCAAACAGGAGTAGACTTGCGCCCAAAGTTATCTGTAGTGACGGGGTGTAAGGAAAATCGAGGATTGACGGAACCTTTCCAGACATCATTGCTGGCAAATATTTTGAGGGTTTTTGTGACAGATAGGTGAGTACAAATATGACTTCTATCTTCTTATTTTTACATGCAGCTTACATTGTCCAACAGCGAACAGGAAGACTTCTTTATCACCACCAAAAACTAGTCGTTTAAACGAATTCCTGTCTTAAGCCCTTTGTCTAATGCTTTGGAGAAAAGAGTAGTTACAAAAAATGAAGAAGCATATAGCAAGTTGTCCTTGGCCTTTTTTTACAAACGTGCATACTGTCTTCTTAAACTTACATGTAGCTTGTACACGGTTCTATAGCGGTATGGAAGAATTTTTAACACCATCCAAAACTTGTCGTTGTTGTTTAAGGAGCAAGATCCAACTGACAGAAAAGGGGGTGTTGTTTCGGACGCCACCATCACACCAGGTCAACAGGACACAACCAGGCACAATAGAGACAAATCAACGCTTGCTTTCGGGCAAAAATTAATGTCATGCCATCCTTTGTTTTCTTGACCTATGTAGTCGGACACTGTGATATTGATGACAGAAAAGGGAGCATTGTTACAAACGGAAAATAAAGAGGGCGCAATTTATAGGGCCAATCCCCAGTCCTTGGTAGCCTCCATAAAAACTGGGGGTTTTGGGGGTCTTCAGGGTCTTGGGAGCTTTTATGTCATATAGACAACATAGCCGGCCTGGTTATATTACCCCCGTTTTTTTAATGGGTTTAAAACTGGGCTAATCAGAAAACAGCCGAAGACCACTAACCCCCAGTTCTATAAGCCTGCTACGGAGCTCCGGAGGCTAAGTCCTTGGCTTCTTTGGTCGGACAACAGGACTTGATTGACCAATATTTTAAACCTCATTGGATTTACAGAAGACAATGTTGCAGACGTGAGAAAAAAAAGAAAAAAAAGTAGTGCCCAATTGAACCCCCGATGACCCCCAGGCCTTGGCATGCTGTTCGGACAATACGGCTTGATTGACAAAAAGGGGGCGATGACCTGCGATGAAGACAACGTACAAAACTTTAGATCACAACCGAAGGGGTTGAGCCCATACAGCCACATTTCTGAAATGTTGATTATGCAGTCTAGGAAAAGCCCAATACTCTGATACTCTGATACTCAGCCTTGTAGCCCCTGGCCAAATTGATATCTGTCTTGGCAGAAGCACGTCGGCGGAACGTACTGCACCTGCGCGAAACCCGTAATGTATTGTACATACTAACATAGCACTTCGGCAGAACGTCTCATATCAGGTTGTATTCGCACATATAAGGTTAACAATCCATCTGTAGTTTCCAAATGTAGTGTTGGAAAAGATATCCTATGCAACAGGCAAAATTACGATGCAACTGTGACCAAACACCAAATGAAAACCGCGAAAATCCAGGGTTCTGCGCAGGCGCAGTACGTTCTGCCGACGTGCTGTTTTGGCCAACTTGTTCCCATGCCCACGTGATAATTGAATTTGTTGATGTCATATTCAGGTTTTCGTGTTGACCAACGCTTCAAGATAAACTCTTTTCTGCTTCATGATGATCACCATGAAGCAGTACAAATTAATTTTGGCAATTATATGCAATCTTATAATATTACTGGGAAAGGTGTATATTTTCAAGAATCGTCATTCCGCAACTATTTCATTGTATAGTTTTGAATCCTTTGTAAATAATTTTAAAGCCAAAGAAAGCATCGCACGTAAACAAAACAATATGATCAGTCATTACAAAAAATGGGGGGATTTAGCAAATATATCGACTGGGTAGAATGTTTTTATGTAATTCAGTGTGTGTGTACTCTTATGCTATATCGTTTGTCTTTTTGTACGCTCTTTTGTTCTGTTGAATAAAGATTTGTTAAAAAAACTTTTTTCTGCAGAATTGAAGACAGTGACAATCGGGAATGGAGTTACTCACTGTGGCCACAGTCATTGCAGTTCTAACCGCCGCCTCTATCTACTTTCTACTCTCTCGACTCAATACACGATCGTCGTCTTGGCCCAAGGTTTGTAAATGGATGAATGGATAAATGAATGAATGAATGAATGAATGAATGAATGAATGAATGAATGAATGAATGAATGAATGAATGAATGAATGAATGAATGAATGAATGAATGAATGAATGAATGAATGAACTTTATTGCTCGACTATCGTACATGCTACAATGGGTGACAGTAAATTTTAGTAGCATGTTGAAATTAGTTTTCCCCAAAGACATAAGACATTTCAGACGATATCGATGATTTGATGCATGTATGTCGTTTGTTACTATTGCTGTGTGCCTCAACTTCTCCCCAGCTTTACTAATGCAAGATACATACATAGATATAGAACGTTATTGCACGACAATTGTACAAGGCACAACGTATTAGCCTCTACCAGGCTTCGGGAGGCGGCTGGAAAGAGTACAAATCGGCCAAATAGATAAATAGCATGCCAGGGGAGTTGGTCTGCTGGAGAGAACAGTTTGTTGCTCCCGAACTGTTCTCTCCAACAGACCAACTCCCCTGGCATGCTATTTATCTATTTGGCCGATTTCTACCCGCCTTCCGAAGCCTGGTAGAGACTAAAACGTATGGCAACAACTACTGGACATAGTACAAAAAAGGGCATAGAATGAAAATTAACATCATAATTACTGAACATCAAGAGATAATACTATGTCGACATCACTACCGTTGTATGTTAATTGTAGACCAAGCAGACCGTGGCTTACACATGGAAGGTGACACAAACCAGGAGAAAACATGGACTGTTCATGAACTCTCTGGACGACTTTGCGCCGGTGGGAGAAGCCTCAGCGGTCCTTGACGTAGCGGGGTTCTTTCGTCGCCATGGGAACCAGTTTTCTGTTTACAGTATAGACTGGGAACAGGAAATGGTGGTGCTGATTCGTCCCGTGGATGGTGCGGATATGAAAGCGATTCCGTTCTTTCATGAGGTGTGTATTGATCAATTCACACTCGGTCATTCAGTTACCAGTACAATTTTATCATGCTAAATTCAAGAAGGCAGAACTTTCTTAGGAATTACTGGGATAATATGTACTTGTAGCTTTTCTTACTTTGCCAGTTAAGGGAAATTGTGCAAGTCTTTTACCTTCGCCAAATCTAGAAGGTTATGTTTTCGGGTTGGGTATTATGAAATAAATGACTGTGGGTGTATAGGCGGCATGACTCTTAAAGCCATGGATAGATAGATGTTCATGAGTTTTGATAGGCAAGTAACTGTTGAGGAGGTGAAGGTCAAGTTTGAGAATGGGCCTTTATTTTGGATGGATGCTCATGCTTGTTGGTAGTATCAAGTTACGATACCTAATACAGTTTACTTTTACAGCTATGAAATGGGTCTATCTTTATCTCACGATATCTTATTATTATCAGTCCCCATTCGAGTGAAATATAAAAATAATATGACTATCATTGTACATACCTGTTCTTACCTTTTTGCCTTTACTAAGAAACGAGAAAAAAACGAATTTACTTAATTTACTTAATTGTAGTTACTTGATGATGTATATATGAAACGTTATCTGTATACCATCCTTTTACTGTGACCTGTACTTAACCCATTGGGTATGTGTGTACAATAAAGGTCTTCATTCATTCATTGTTCCAGGCTCAAAGACGCCAGGCGGCGGAGGTTCTGTGTGTTCCCTTGGAGGAACTCCAGGATGTGGCGAGAGCCGTCGCTGACGAGGTTGCGCATGTGCAGGAAATATTCCTCTTCCTTACGGGTAAGCGGTGGAATAGGACATTTGGGTTTTGGGTCGACATTTTGAAAAACATTGATGGGAAAGATTGCCTAAATTTTTTAAAAGATCAGTCTACAAATAATCGAGTTATGACGTTGACCTTAATACTGGGACACACCACAGCTGCCCTACCAAAATCTACCGAATCCACATCTTTCTGACGAAAGCAACAAGTAGCGATGACAATGATGTTTCTCTTAACTCAACACAGGGCGATGTGGGTCGACTCTGGTAACACGACTTGTGGAGTGCACTCTCTTTGCACAGGCTGTAAGCGAGCCCAATATTTTCACCGCCATATCCATGGCTGTCCATCGGCTCAAGCTGTCCTCACAACATGGCCAGATTCCTCCATATCACGGCTGTCCTGCCGTTCTATCAAGTGAGGAGTCTACCGTAGCTCTTCTGAAAAACATCGGCATTTTGCTGAACTACAATCTCGTGAAGTCAGACCCACGTCACCGCGACGTCATTTTCTTCAAGTTTCATCCTGGGGACATCTTACATCTGGCTGAGCTGATGGCCCGTGCCTTTCCGTCCGCCAAGACACTCTTCATGTACAGAAACGGCCTGGAAGTTATGGAGTCGATCAAACGAATCCAGTTCAAGAGGTCGTACGCTCTTTACGCAGCCGTGCGTTTTGCGGTGCGCATCGGCCTGACGATGAGGTGGAATTTGGCAAGCCCTGAGTATATCCGATGTTTCGGAGACGACCCGAAGTTCTTCCCGGTGCGTTATCGCGGCACGAGCATGTACAGCATGTACACGTGTTGGGCCGGCGTGATGCAGTGTGCGCTCGATCTGCAGAGGAAGCGGCCCGAGGCTTTCTTCCACGCCGTCGTCCACTTCTCAGCCCTCGTCCGCGACAGAGAGAAGACGTTCCGCCTGCTGATGGAGAGGCTCGGCCTGACGTGGAGCCCGGACGGTCCGGGAGAGGACACGGACAAGATCGAGAAAGTATTAACTGAGGACAGCCAAGCTGGGACCGTCTTGTCTAGCAGGTAGGACCACTGTACACAAAATATTTGCTTTTCATATATTTTTTGGCTCGTTCATTCCGTGAAGGAAGTATTGTTTTGGGTGGCACTACTTTTTGCTAGGTTTGTATGGTAGGGTTCCAAAGTGAGTGGGCAGAGGTTGGTTTTGATTTTGAGAGGGATTTGACAGCTGTATTTGATTAGGTGTATTGAAAAATTAAACACAGTGTAATTGCGGAGTAGTTTTTATCATACAAAAAGTTTGATATCTTTTTTTTTTATTCCAACATGTAATCACCAGACGTGGTGACGACACACTCAAGTTTTTTTCAACTTATATTAATGCCGCCACCAACACAGGGGACAAATACACGACAGGACAATACTCATTTACACCTGAGCTAAGTGAGGAAAGCCGTGTTAAGTGCCTTTCCCAAGGGCACAAGATCGGTGGCGCTACGCCACACGAGCCCACGTCGATATCTTTGTTTCCCTCTTGTCTTGTACAGTGTGTATGCATTTTCCCTTTTAAAGCTCTTATAAACCATTGTTTTTCCAGAAAGACACCAGGTGAGAAGTGGACTCCGGACGTTTCGTCCCCTTGGGCGGGACAGTGGGAACTAGAGTATATGGAGGAAGTTTGTCGTCATGCTGGGAAGGAGATCACCGGGCCTGATTTCCTCCTGCCAGGCACCATCGTGTAACAGGCAATGTCTGGTTATAACGTTAGGCCACACCGAATTCTATGGATGACATCCGCGCGCGCATTGATTTTCGCCCGCCCTCAAAAAAAAAAAAAAACAAGAAAGATCACGTCCTCCGAGGCTCTGGCTTGGTCGTCATAGGCCTGGGTAGTCAATGGTAGATAGTGACAATACGGAGCCGGACACCCAGGCTACCGAAGCTCCACGACTAAAGAACTCAGTACATACGTACAGTGCCGATTCATAAATTCCGCAAAAAGCCAGCATGTGTCGGCTTGTCGTTTTCGTCGCTATGTACTGCCGCAAATTAACAACACAAGCTTTGTACTCCTGTGGTTTAGTAGCATTTTTACTTTTGGCCGGAATTTTTTTTATTCGCCAGCGCGCACTAGTTTGGGGGTCTTCAGAGGATGTCATCCATAAAATTAAGTCGGTGTGGCCTTATTCAAACCGCCTATCACACAGCCTTCCACCAAATCTGTTCCTGAACACCGGCCGACAAGGTTCGACTGACGTTCTGACTCTGACTTGATCTAGACCAGTTTTTTTATTTTTTTTTTATTCTGACTTTATTGACATAGCATTAATAAATCAATGAATTTAATTGAAAAAAAGGATAAAGTTAAAAAAAGAAGAAAAACACCCCTGGTCTTGAACCCCGAACTTCATAACACAATTACATACTAGTACCTCAAAATACAAGTACATGCTGGTACCTCATAACTAGTATCTCATAACACAAGTACATACTAGTACTAATACTAGAGTTCCACGATCTCATACCTTCGCCAAATGATGTTAGCTTTTATGATTAAGAAATTATATATTAATCCCCCTAATTATGCAAATAGGATCCTCAATTGCATGAATTATATCTGTTGATCATATTCTCCACTAAAAGACAGTCTTATCTTAACAAAGAATGCCATGATGACACTTTCTCATAAATTATGCAAATGAGGTCCTTATTTGAATAAGTTATGTTTAATTATGTTCACCTTAACTTAACTTTCAAACACCCCAAGTATAAAATTCCAGGCAGTTACCACTATGCAATTATAATTTTTTTCTCATTAATTATGCAAATTAAGTCTTCATTTGCATAATCGATATCTGCCTGTGTTTCTCTCATTCTTAATAACATATGTCACAAGCTTGAACTTCCTATTATGGAATGCAGCTGATAAATAGAATTTCCTCATTAATTATGCAAATTACATCCATATTTGCATAATTGTAATATCATTATGTCAAGCATCACTCAAGCTACCTACATACCAAAAATCACGATGATCCATCAATCGGTTCTTGAGTTATCCGCCTTTAAACATTTGTCCATTAAACCCCCTTGCAGTTCTAGAGCAAGCAACTAGGGGGCTCAAACTCATGTCACTTTATCCCCAGCGCAAGAGCTATCTACCATCCAACTTTCGTCACCCTAGCATGTCTGGATTATGAGATATCAAAACCGGAAGTTCTGCTGCAGTACCATGACAAGCCGCCAGGGGGCCCAAAATCTGATCATTTTGAGGTCTCATCAAGACCTACCCACCTACCAAGTATCAAGACAATCCATCAAGGCCTTCTCAAGTTATAGTGTTTACACACACACACACACACACATACACGAACGCCCCTGAAAACATAACCTTCTTGGCGAAGGTAATAAGTAATACATGCTGACAAGTAATACATACATTAGCACCTGGAGATGTAGTGACATTAATCAGCCATCTTCTCTAGACTTGAAAACAGGATAAACAACCTATGAACTCCTATTACGTCCTTTTTTTTGTAACTAAATACAATAAAGGAAATGTTTTTAGATACGGGGGTATTTGGTGATAAGGTTAGTTTTAAAAATTCTTAAGAGGTCTGTGATATTCAGGTGTGGGTTTTAAAATAGTCCATTTGGCTACGGTAATTGTAAAGATCATAGGTGCTTAAATTTTTAAAAATATAATGTGCTGGTAAGTAATTGTTGTGTCAAGGGTACTAGCATTTAGCTAGTCCAAAAAGTTATATAGTACATCTAAGAAAATGTGTTCCTAATTAATCTTCAACATTTCCACTGCTACATAAAGTACATGTTGAATCAAATAGTTGCCCGTTATTATCTTTGATGCGCCATTTGTGAGGCTAAGTCAGTGCAGATCTTTTCCTATGTAAAGGTTACATTTGGAAATTGAGATTGCCATTTTTTGCAGCATCTTGGTATGTGTTTGTCTAATTATACTGCGGGATATACAGAAGTTCCTGGTTTTGATTTGTTGTCTTATTTTACTATAAAAAATGTGTGTGAGTGTGTGTGTAAGTGTAAGGGCACTGTCACATTTCCAAGCCGGGGCCCGGCCGGGTTGTTTGCGTACATGAAAAATAAACAATAAACAATTGAGTATACACAAATGGTGCTCATGGTTAATTTTCTAAAACTTTTTTTTTTGCGTTTTGCCGTCTTGTATTAGCCTCTACCAGGCTTGAGGGCGCGGCCGGAAATAGTAGAAATTGGCCAGATAGAGAGATAACACGCCGAGGGAGTTTAGCCATCCAGTTTACAGTGGGCCGGCAAACTGTAAACTGGATGGCTAAACTCCCTCGGCGTGTTATCTCTCTATTTGGCCAATTTCTACTATTTCCAGCCGCGCCCTCAAGCCTAGTAGAGGCTAGTCTTATATCATAATTTTCGTTCCATACGACTGCCCGGCCGGGCCCCGGCTTGGGAAATGTGACCGCGCCTTGACGTAGTATAATCCTCATCGTTTTTCTCACATCACACTCACTTTCATGATGTATGTTATTACTTGGACACTTGCTATTAGCCCACGAGCACGAATTTCTAACAAACGTAAAGTTATTACCCAGATATGTTACACTACAGTGTCGGGCAGGAGAAAGTCAGGCCCGGAGACCTCGTTCCCAGCATGACGACACACTTCCTCCATGTACTCTCGTTCCCACTGGCCCACCCAGCGGGGTGAAACGTCCGGGCTCCACTTCTCACCGAGTCTCCTCTTCGAATTCCTAGAAAATCAATCAATCATAGGACTTAGGAGTTTGTAGAAATGATATATCTGCATGTACCAGACATAGATAATACAACAGAAAAACAGGTATATCAAACTTTATCTGATACAGTTTGCCTTTATATGTAGCTATGAAATGGGGCTATCTTTATCTCACAATAGGACACAGATAATACAACAGAAAAACAGGCATATCAAACTTTCGAGAAGTATGCATAATTTGCCCTGATGAATCGCATCGTAGAATGCATCAATCGATTGTATGATGAAACGTACTCCGCTATTACTTTTTGTCTTTCGTACATTCCTGGTGACAACATACTTAACCTATAGCATACCTGTACAAACCCAATCTATTAAACCAAACCCAATCCCCGTCCACTCACTTTTATTGGATTACAAACATACAAACCTAGCATCAATTAGTGCCAACCAAAACAATACTTCCGTCCCGGAATTAATCCAGAACAATCCTGAATGTAACGAGCCAGAAATATAAGAAAAGCACTCACTTTGGAACCCTGACATACAAACCTAGCAAAAAGTAGTGACACCCAAAACAATACTTCCGTCCCGGAATTAACGAGCCAAAAAATATAAGAAAAGCAAATATTTTGTGAAGTTCTACCTTGAAGACAAGACGGTCCCCGCTTGGCTGTCCTCGGTCAATACTTTCTCGATCTTGTCCGTGTCTTGTCCTGGACCGTCCGGGCTCCACGTCAGGCCCAGCTTCTCCATCAGCAGGCGGAATGTCTTCTTTTTGTCGTGGACGAGGGCTGAGTAGTAGATGATGGCGTGGAAGAAATACTCGGGCCGCTTCTTCTGTAGATTTGCCGCGCGCTGCATCGCACCGGCCCACCACGTATAGAGATTGAACAAGCCCGTGCTTCGATAGCGCACCGTCGAGAACTTCGGGTCTTCGCCGAAACATCGCATAAAGTCATGGCTTCCAAAAGCCCGCCTCAACAGACCAGCGCGCACTGCAAAACGAAGAGTCGCATACAGCACATAACTTTGCTTGAAATAGATTCGTTTGACCGACTCAGTAACTTCCAGGCCATTTCTGTACATGAAGACTGTCTTGGCGGACGGAAAGGCACGGGCCATCAGCTCAGCCAGAAGGATGACGCCAGGCTTGAACTTGTAGAAAATGACGTCACGGTGACGTGGATCTGACGTCACGAGGTTGTAGTTCAGCAAGATGCCGATGTTCCTCAGAAGGGCTACGGTAGACTCCTCACTTGACAGAACGGCAGGACAGCCGCGATGTGGTGGAGTCTGGCCACGTTGGGAGGACAGCTTGAGCCGGTGGACAGTCATGGATATGGCGGTGAACACCTCGGGCTCACTAACAGCTTGTGCCACAGAGGTGGCCTCCACAAGTCGCGTTACCAGAGTCGACCCACAACGTGCTGTATTGTGTGAAAAGAAAACACCGTTGTCGTCGTTGCTGCTGCTTTGAATTTGGGAAGACGTTTGCATCTCACGAGAGGGGAAACTATCGTATCTAGAACCATATGCCTATCTAGTTCTTTGCCTTAATGACTTTAATGGGTTAGGATCAGGCACGGTTAGAGCTGTGTACCTAAACAAATTTTAGGTACAGGTACAGGTACACAGGTTTAGGTACAGGTCCGGACCTGAACCTGTACCTGAACAATTCGACCAATTTATATGGTCTTCTGAACTCCTTCAATAACAAAAAAACATAAATAAACTTGATAGTTAAGGTTTATTCTTTGTTTATGGCGAATGCTCAGATAAAATATAGGCAAAACTAAGTGTTTTGTTTTCATGAACACGCTGTCCTTACACAGGGACCCATTGTTAACCACCTTTATACACATTTGAGGTCACAAATAGGCATAAAATTGGTGTGAAATTGTTTAGGTACAGTACCGGTACTGAGGGAGTAGGTATTTTGGACCTGTACCTAATCAATATTTCCGGTACAGTATCGGTACTGCGTACCGGTACACAGCTCTAGGCACGGTTCTTGATAGTGTTCGTGTATCCAAGAACGTGACATTTGTCTCAGGCACAGTTCTGGATATGCCTGGACTACCCCGAACTTAGTTCTGGATGAAGCACGGCTTTGGTTACAATAGATACCATGGCAGTGCATTTTTTGTCACTAACTATTTTTCCGTTACGATTTTTTTTCTTCCAAAGCAAAGAGAATGATGTCCAATTCGACTACTTACCCGTCATGAAGATGAATATTTCCTGCACATGCGCAACCTCGTCAGCCACGGCGCTCGCCACGTCCTGGAGTTCCTCCAAGGGAACACAGAGAACCTCCGCCGCCTGTCGCCTTTGAGCCTGGAAAATGATAATCATATCTTTTTTTAGCACTCGATTTGAGATTGACATTTGAGACTAAAATAATCATTATAATACATACATACATACATACATAATGATCGGATAAAGAGGCATGTAACAGCCTATAAAAATCCGCTTCTTAAGCTAACATTGAAACAATACAAATACATACATATAATGTTGAGAGTTAAAATGTGAGAGTTTGTGAGAGTTTCGTAGGTAGGGTCAACGCTGTACTTATATGATGTTCTTAGTTCTTTGATAAAAATATGTTTCCTTATTCTAAAAGAAAACTGAATTAGACGAGAGATTGCATGCAAATTAACAATAAGACGTTGGCAGGCTGATTCGTAGGGGAACTTAATAATTTGTCTCCGTCATTCGTTGCAAGGTGGCCACGTTTTTCGCATCTACCTTCCTGAATTTTGCGTAGTATATAGTAGTAACTGAAAGACTAAGTGTGAATTGATACCTCGCGAAAGAACGGATGCGTTTTCATATCCGCACCATCCACGGGACGAACCAGCACCACCATTTCCTGTTCCCAGTCTATACTGTAAACAGAAAACTGGTTTCCATGGCGACTAAAGAACCCCGCCACGTCACGGACCGCTGAGGCTGCTCCCTCTGGCGCAAAGTCGTTCAAGGAGTTGACAGACGTCTGGAATTTCTTTTTCTTTGGTGTCACCTTCCGTGTGTAAGCCTGAGACTGCTTGGTCTACAATCAACATATAGCAATGGTGGTGATGACATAGATGTATGGTACATTAGCGACATTACGTTATAAGGTACACAGGAATGCGAATAGGAACAAACGAGATACCAGGCTACGAACAAGTTTCCACTTATTTCTCAAAACGTAAAGATCATGTACTTGTCATCTCAAATTTGACATCTTCGGAGTCGGCGTCAAGGAGCTTGAACAAACCTTGGGCCAAGATGACGATGGCGTAGTCAGTCGAGTGAGTAGAAAGTAGACAGACACCGCAGTGAGAACTGCAATGACTGCCACCACTGTGAAGAACTCCATCGCCGACTGTGACTGTCCTATTTTGAGCAGACTGGCTCGCTAAGTCTGACCAAAGTCCGGCAGACCTATAAAGGTACATGGCATGGACTTGGACTTTGAACGTTACGTACTATGCCTATGCAAAACCCGGAAGTACAAAACATGTAACGTGACCACCAGATCACAGTTTTAGTCTATGGGGATTTCTACAGTTCAGGACCACAAGGTGACCTGCTTCGTCGCGGTAAAAATTATAGTAGGTAGGGTACACTTCAGAAATGCTAAAAATTAATATGTTGAGTTTAAGGTACAACCTACAAAATATCAAAACAAATAAAAATGTTGCCAGTGTACGGTATTTTGACGCCCTCTTTGAATTTGACCTCGGGTCATTTGAACTGCATCCAACTCACTCTGAAAGCCAGTTGCGTAATGTGGCGCATTTGTGGACAGACTGGAAAATTGCACAATCCAAAATCTTATTAATCAGTCAATCAATCAATCAATCAATCAATCAATCAATCAATCGACTTTATTGTTCAACAACTGTAAATGGTACAATGTATGGTAAAGAATAAACAACAAGGGTAGGTACATGAAATATACTAAAATACAATTCCAACAGAGTTAATCCATACTCAAACTAAATATACCAAAGCTAATCTATTGTACGTTTTTTCCCAAGGACAGCATTATATTATATTCTACGATTCAGGAGTACTTTATCCAGAACCATGTTCAGGCACAGTTGTGTATAGTTTGCGCATATCCAGAACCGTGCCTGGGAGCAAATCTACGTTGTTGGAGACTTTCCACCGTGCCTAACGATTAATCCTAATTCATTGCGGCATATAGTACTAGATAGGCACGGTTTTTGGATACGATAGAGACTACGCAGATCCACGTACTGTATACGTTCTTGGATACGCGGAGACTATCCAGAACCGTGCCTGATCCTAACCCTAACCCGTTCAGGCATGGATCTAGATATGCACAGTTTCGGATACGATAGTGCGAGATATCGCGCTCGGCACTGGTCACTTTCTTCGAAGTCATTCAAAGACGACATCGGCGGAAGATCTTTCAGACGTAAGACGGTACGTCTCTACACGAGGCACAGATCTGGGTACGAACCTTGATGTCCGAAATCTTCCTAAGATGTACTACTATTACTGCCATGTAACTGATCTGTTTTCAGTGTTGATGTAACTGTGCGGCGAAGCCGGCTCTCGGACGTAACCGTCCTGGTACAACATATGGTGGAGAAATTTCTTTCTCCTTCCCTCCTGATATAAAGAGAAAAAGAAGAGAAAATGTAAGAAACATTTGACATGACAGGCAGGCAGAGAAAATTAATACAAACAGAAACGATTAGATGAGTAGCGAAGTTCTTTCACCACAACCATTTATTTTTCACGAGCCGACGTTTCGATGACCGTCTGTCACCTTCATCAGGGCAATTCTCAAATTCTCAAATTGAGAATTGCCCTGATGAAGATTGAGAATTGCCCTGATGAAGATGACAGACGGTCATCGAATTAACGTCGGCTCGTGAAAAATAAATGGTTGTGATGAAAGAACTTCGCTACTCATTCGTTTACCAACCTGATGAATTTACTTACGGAGAAATGATTAGATAAAAACAAACATACCCATACTGCCTCTTCCACTGCGTTCATTCGACTCTGCATCATTGAAATGGTCTCTGGGGGAACTTTAGTTTTCTAAAGTAACAACAGAAGGGTGAAAGATTGAAACAAAGCCGTGATATCATCAACAGATCAGTAATGTCTAAATCAAATCATCCATAATCGTCATTAATTATCTATAAGAATATAATTATTATAGTAAGTTATGTACATAAAGCATCTTTACAATCGCAGAACTTATACCTAGATACCAAACATCATCACAATCGAAACACTGTATAGATACGTCTAACCCTTGTCCGTCACAAGAATATAAACGGCAGTGGGAACAACACCTCATTCATGGACTGTTATGCACCTTTTTTTTTTTACACTGTTATGTTTTTAGTTTGGTGCCGCCATGTTTTTTCCCGTGATGCTGAGGGAAAGGTGTATGGTAGGAAGGGGTAGCACGTCGGCAGAACGTACTGCACCTGCGCGAAACCCGTAATGTATTGTACATAGCACTTTGGCAGAATGTCTCATATAAGGTTGTATTCGCTCATATAAGGTTAGCATTTCGACAGTAGTTTCCAAATGTTATGTCGGAAAGAATATCCTCTGCAATAGGCAAAATTCTGATGCAACGTTGACCGAAAACCCAACGAAAAACGCAAAAATACGGGGTTCTACGCAGGCGCAGTACGTTCTGCCGACGTGCTGGAGGCGGTGCGGCTATTTGTTATGTTTTCATGGTGTAATTGTTAGTTTTTGTATAGTTTGATGCGAAGGAATTTGTCAACATTTCAAAGATAGGAATCAGCTGACCTTGGTGATGAGCTTGAAGAAGATGATGACCAGAATGACCTTGACCGGTTGAAGGATGATGACATCAGTCAGGAAGGAGATGAGGAAGGCGAAGAGCCAGGACTGAGACTTGGCCCGACCGTACTCATTACCGTACAGGACAGTGAAGGCTCCACACACCACCACTATGGCGGCCACTAGGAGCCAGGCTGGAGGGATAACAGATCAGTTACTGTAGCTATGGCTGAACGGATATCCAGAATCGTGCTAATCGAGATATCAAAACCAGAATTTCTGCTGCAGTACCCAGGAAAGTCGCCAGGGCGACCAAATCTAATCATTTCTAGGTTTCATAAAGACCTACTAAGGTTGATCCCAATCCATCTAAAGCTTCTCGAGTTATCTTGCTAAACCACACACACACACACACACTCACACACTCACTCACACACACACACACACACACACACACACACAAAGACACACACACACACACACACACACAGACAAGGTAATTTTAAAAGTGTGTTCAGTATTGTAAAGAGATTACAGAAACCAATAACTAGCAGATGACGAGAACATCTCACCCACGATGCGGCACCACCAAGGAAACGGACGGTACGGCTTCCGGTTCACTGTGACCTTCGACCCTTCTTTCTTAACGACGTATCTGGTATCCACTGTCTTGAAAGCTGAAATTCACGAAAGGCAAAGTTAGAAAGATTTTAGTCCTTGTTTCGGCCAATCGCAATCAGTATCAGAGTGCATTTTTCCAATCTAACAAAACGAAGACAGTCTGCATATTAATTAACGACCGGCAACGATTAACGGTGAATTAAAATGGTTCGCAAAGGACATGCCGACTCTTAACGTACCAATCACCCCTAGTCTATAACCAACTTATGGTGCCAAGAAAATGGCAACTAAGAACAAGTTCAAGTGTTTTATTCCTCACCTCCTTCTTTCTTTAACTTCTCGATATAGGCTGTCGGGTCTGCCGTGTACCCTGCGCCAAACTCCGACTGGGCGTTGTCAACTTTCGGCAGGTAGCGAGGGAGAACGAATTTCGCGACGTGCTGTCCTTTAAGGCGGGCGCCGTAACTTTCTTTGTTCTTTGGTTTGAACGAGTTTGCAGACCCCGATGGTTGCTTCCTTGCCCCGGAGTACCGAAAAAGCACCGCGATGAGCACGTTGATTGGCAGAGCGATGAGTGAACTTTCTAGACCGATTATGAACTGAAAAGTGTGGTAAAAGTAAGATGGACAATTATATAACAATCGTTGATGATGATGATGATACATACAAACGCATGGTCTATGCTTGAACATATCCTTAGAATGCCACAAGACACTGCTGCACATAAAGCCATGGAATTCTCGTTCCTAGGCTCCAGCAGATACAAGCTAAGACACTGCGTCTATCTGCTTAGCATGCTGACGGGAGACATCAAGCGCAGAGCGCTAGGCCTTCTCACAACAAAAAAACTCCTAGAGCTAAGGAAACTCGCACAACAGAAAGCACAGTGGAAAGAAATGATGATTGATGATGAATTATCATTGAAGTAACTGACCCGAGGGCACTATGCACTGGACAGGTATATAAGTGAGAACTTCATGCACTTGTGTCATTAGCCTCTGTACACTTGAAGAAGCCACACAGGCGAAACCGGTCGTGTGACAGGCTGAATAAAAGTTCTAAACGGGAACTGTGCGGCTCCAGATGTCTTACTGAGGGACAACTGCGTGTGCAAGATGTCGGTAGCTTGAGGAATGAATCCCCTCTACTATATACTGATGAATTATCAAGTGAACACTTACAGAGGTCAAGCTGAAGGGCAGCGCCAACTCGACGTCTCCTATCGTGACCTTTGACAGGAGGTCCCGGTCGCCGCGGTAGAACACGATGTTGACTAACATGAAGGACATGAGGAGTGACAGACAACACGAGATCCTCTGCACCCGGGTGAAGTGGCCTGAAGGAAACTTGACTACAGACAACCACAGGTGATGAGACAGGTACCCATTTCCCTTCGTCGTCTCTGACAGCTGTCTGTGTGCTTTCCTCTGTCGCTGTGGGATGTAAAGAAGAGAAAATGGCAAAACATAGATATTCCCAAATAAGCAGCTAGTAGGAGACTACTGCATTTAGTCTAATTCTATGTCTGAATGGGTTAGAGATAGGATCATGCACGGTTCTGGATAGTCTCCGCGTATCCAAGAACGTAGATGTGCCCCAGGTACGGCTCTGGACGAGCGTGGACTACATATATCCAGAACCGTGCTGGAGCATGGTTCTGTATAAAACACGATTCTGGATATAAAAGAAACCCTAGCCTACACCAGCTGTGCGCTATGTTCAATGGTCGTTGCCATACGTTGTACCATGTACAATTGTAGCCTCCTTCGCAGACTTGTTGGGTGGCGACTTGGAGCGGGAAACCTTCTCTCTGTGGCAAAAACTCCCTCGGCGGCAAAATCGTCCCTCCCCGGCATAACTCACGTCGCTCACCGAAAAAATAATGCCGCCACCCAACAAGTCTGCGAAGGAGGCTAGTACAATTATATTGCAATAAAGTTCCTTTATAAACCATAGACTTTGTTTTATTGTTTGTGTTGTTTTGTTTTGTTTTGTTTTGTTTTAAGAAGAAAACTTTCAGTAACCTTTCGTTTGTCGTCCAGATCGGCGCTTCTGCCGATGAAGACTGCCACGAGGTACAGCGCCAGGACCACACACACAGTCACCAGGACGATCACACTTCTGTCCAGGTCAAAGGTAAAAGACCTCCCCAGGTCCAGCGGGTTGGGTGCAACAAAACCGGCAAAGGCCGTCAGGTGGTCACAGACACAGTGTAGCTGCTCATCAGTCGTCTTAGGCCCGACCTGTACAAATGTAGAAACGTTAGTAAGGCGACACTGATTCAATTTTATGGATGACATCCGCGCGCGCATTGATTTTCGCCTAGCGCCTGCTCAAGAAAACCACCTCCGAGGCTTATATAATTAAGCCTGAGTGCCATTGCATCCTCCGTAATCCATTGTGGCTACCAAGAATCAGGAGCCAGTGGTAACAACCGGAGGCTGCCCAGGCTCCACAGAACTCTAAAACTCAGTACGGTGCATCGGTACCAACTCGTAAATCCACAATACCAGCTTGGTATTCCTGTGGTTTATCAACATTTCTTTTGATTGTACTTTTTTATTCGCCCGCTCGCATTAGTTTTGAGGTCTTCAAATGATGCCATCCATAAAATTAGATTAATGTGGCCTAACATAAGATTTGACTAATGATAAAAGGACATTGTAACCACTATAAGGCATGTTTCCTTCTGTGACATAAAAACTAGTAAGATATTGAACACATCACTCACCTCACAACCATTGTCAGTCCACAGTCTTGTCGCCTCGTTGAAGAAGAGGCATTTGTAAGCAGTGATGCTGGCGGTGTAGCGAACACTGGAGTCTGATACTCGCCCACTGTCGTCAGTGGTTGGGACTCGTTGGATGCCTATTTAAAAGCATGAACAATGTTTAATGACCCTTAGAAGAGAAATATACCGACAGAAATTCATTGCTTGGACAACACATTTTGAAAATAATAATACTTGTAATTCATCCGTAAATAATTTCATCAGGTCGGTAAACGAATGAATAACAAAGTTCTTTGGTTACAACCGTTTATTTTCCACGAGCCGACGTTTCGATTTCGATGACAGACGGTCAGCGAAACGTCGGCTCGTGAAAAATAAATGGTTGTGACCAAAGGACTTTACTATTCGATACTTGTAATTGTTTTTGATTGTAATTTAATTGTCAGAGGCAGCTAGCATAGGTTTGAATTGTTTACGTTAAGGGCCTTGTTTGGGGGTGAGACGAAGGAAGTGTCCGAAATAGGACCATCTACGACGGCAAAACTTTTTCTGTAGTGGTGATACCTGAAACTTATCTTACTCACCTAACGCCCACATTTCCTGTTCGTTTCTGATGTCCAAGGCTGACTGGTTTATAAACCATGTGAAAGGCTGCGTGGATGCCACAGTTTGCCCGTCTGAAGTGTGTCCAGTCCGGGTCAGATTGAAGCTGTGGCTGTAATCACCAGGTGTGACCACGGCGCCGCGCTTCAGGTAAGCCCTCAACGTGACGTTGTTGACGTCGACGCTGTTGACGTCAGGGGTGACGCGGACGTAGAGGGCCACACCAGGTTCTGACGTATTGAAGCTGTGCAACTGTTGGGACGAGCAGGAGCAGAATGTCAATATCAAATATATCAAAAAGGAATTCAACATTTAGAGTACAGTATGTACCCGACTAAACATTTCATTTAACATCTTGTTGTGAAATTTATCGCCTGCTCTTTGCATTTTCTGCATCAGGTCAAAGTGATAATCACCAGAATGAGACGGGGGGCGTAATAGACTTCCATGCACATTGGGCCAAAGACTGGGTGTTTATACGGTCACGTGTCCAAAGTAACGGTGGTCGATTTCCGGGGAAAAGTTGCCGAGTTGATTCATTAATTTAGTAGTCAAGGTCATTAATTAAGTCATTAGAGTATTGAACATTAATGAAATGAACCAACCGATATTTGTCCACTGTTAGATGACGTGGCGGTACCATTGACCAGTCTTGCTCTGTCTCGTACTGGATTTATGGATTCGACGCGTTCGTTTTCCTCCAGGTTCCTAACGAGAACTTTCTGTCTTTCACCGAGAACTGAGAGGCCCAAAACCGGCGTCCTGACATCTCTGGCGTTGCTGGCGTATTCGAAGGGGTTTTGTGGTGTAAAATAAGTCTGGAACATACAAGACACCATATTCGTGAATAGTTCCATCGGGCTAGTGAACGATTGAATAGTAAAGTTTACATCAGCCATGATGATAAAAATGGCTATTGAAACATTAAACTTGTTAAACAAGTGGTTGTGAATAAAGAACCTTTCAATCAAAGACACCATATTGGAGATGAACTGAATAATTTCAAAATTACATGTACGCTTGGCGTATGCGAAGGTTTATGTCTTGCACATGATAACTGAGAACCTGAAACTTGCAAAAGTTTTTCGTTGCCCTTGAAACCAAAATTGCAGCTCTCGCGTGGCTTGGTGAGACATCGCGAGATTATCAGTTCGCCATATTGACTCTATTTTAGTTTTTCTACAAAGTATGTGCTTTTCCAAACCTGAGATCCAACAGTGCCGTTGACACAAAGTTTGGTCGAAGTATTTTCAGGTATCTGGAAATACGCCTTTGTATCCTCGCTGGTCTGTATTAACCGTGACCCGAGTCTCTCACAGCCTGATCTCGCTAGGGACATCAGGAACACATTCGCCTGGACCAAGGTCGGCTTTTCGTCCCGGTTCTTCCTCTCTATCATGGTCAAGGCTAAGTTGTCGATAGCTCGAAAAGCAACGGTCGTTGCCTGCTCGTTCTGGTCGTGTGAAAGAAATAAAACAAAGCGTTTAAAGGCACATCATACTCGGTTGCTCGATTTATTTGGTATTAAGTGAGGATGTTCTACCTGATTGTGTATCAGTTATTGCTGGGACTGTATACGAGTATCAGAGTATTAAATAAATTATAATAAATCAGCTTACCTTTTCAAAGTCCGTCGTTCTGTTTTGAAGTTGAGACTTCTCCCTTTTCCTCTCTGCGCTTTCACTAGAAGCCTCCAAAACGTTAGCAGCACCTAAAACAGAAAAGTGTAGTGTCAGAGATGTACCATTGGCATAAAGAAAGACTTTATTAACATTTCTATATATTTTAAATAAAAATGTTTTCAGTGTTCCCGAACCTGTGATAATATGCGCTGCTACTCTCTCTAGCTCCTCTGTCCCCACTTCAGATGACTTAGTCGTCAACACCTCTTCTAAAGTTTTTAACGTATCGGCCGCCTTCACCTATAAATGTGGAGACAAAAGTTAATTCTTAAAACACCTTTGTCACTGGTTGCACCCATAAATCGTTGAATAGACTTTCTGAACAAAAATGCTCCTTTAAATGACGAAAACACAGCAACAAAAGCTGCCTTGGCAATGAATTGTGCTGCAAACGACATGTAAAAAAAAAAACTTACTTGAGACACATCTGACAGTTCTTTAGGTTTGTTGGTCACATGTTCCACTGGGCCGGACACCTGTTTCACCTGCTGCACGTCCAGCACCTGCACCTGTTCCAGGATCTCCAACATCCGTTCACGGGCCTGTGTGGGAAATAATTATACAACATTACCACAATACATCCAGATACGAAAGGAGGTTCCGCTACTGTCTCAAGAAAAGTGAATAGAATTCCTAGAATCGACCATGACCTTTGTTGTTATGGGATCTATCCAGAAACCAAATATCATCACAATTTATTCATAGCATGCGGAAACATGCACCCAAACAGAATCATCGCCGCCATCTTGGATCTGCTTACATGTTCTGTGCACATACATTTTGTACATGTAGTGACGTCACGTTAAATATAACGAGTATTTAACGTGACGTCACTACATGTATGTGCACAGAACATGTATGCAGATGTATCCTGACTGGATCTGTCTGCTGTTTGGGGAAGTCATGTGAGAAAAAAATTGAGGGACAAAACGTTCAATATCAATAATCATATCCACAAGCAAACCTCGATCTTTGTCGTATTATCAACGTCTGTTTCATCGGCGATGTTCAGCACAGACGCAACGCTGGCGATCGATGACGTCGTCTGTTGTACGTCATCAACGTTCAAGTTATCCAGAACGGTCTCCACAAACTCTTGGACTGCTTCAGGAGGTCTTACCTGGAAATGATGAAATGCTTATAAATGTTTGCTTTTAAATTTCTTTATGAGCAAAAGAAAAAGGACCAAAAAGGGTTTCCCTCTCTCTGTGCTGAGTAGCACGTTCCGTCGTTCATTCGTTGCATTGTTGGGTTTTGCCTGCATTACCATATG